GTATCATTTTAAACTTTTTTAGTGCTGATAGAGTTTTTGAAGTCTGTTCTTTTTTTGCCAAGAAACTTTTTTTTACTGATATTTTTAATTGTAATACTTAGGTGCAGTGAAATATAGGTAGATATAGCAAAGACGCTGCTGGTAAGAGTAAACAGCGTCAACCTGCAACCGGAACTAAAAAACGAAAACTATTAAAAGTAAATAAGGAAAGAATCAGCGCGAAAACAGATTGTCAAAAAAGATCGTATACGTTACGTCGGTTAAATGTCGAAAATCAAGAAAATTGCAATAATATTAGCTTAATTCCCACTCTTTTGACTGTACAATTATTCACAAAGATTACCAATCGTGTTGGCGAATTGACAACGGCATATTTAATTAAATAATAAAATTTAAGCGATAGCAGCAATCGCCGTTGAGTTTCTGTAATTTTTTGAAGAGTTCCGTTGTCTATCTCCGAAACTCATCATGACATCTATATGAAATTTAAATGGGACCATTTCGGAATAAAGACCTTTCAAACAAAAAGATTAGAAGAATTTTTCGGATTTGAATTAGAAGAATCCGTCTAGATGCGCTGCCACTTTACATTAAAAGTTTCGTAATCTGTTAGTTAGAGTTACACCTAGTGTAGTTTTTAAAGACCGCTATAAAATTTCATAATTATTTTCTGATTAAAACACACTATATTCGGCTGCATTAATTAATATTCAGATCAACACAGCATTATAAATTGACGAACATGGCTCATCATATTACGCCCGTTCTGACTCGAGACACAATATAATATTCAAAGCCATATACATTAATTCATTGCATTCCCAATATTATGAAACATTTAACTACACAAACGGCTAATTATTTTTTTCTTTTCACGCAGATGAGCAAGACTCCATATCTACTAAACAAAGTTATGTACCGATTGACAAAACTCGGCCAACCAATCCCGAGTGAGGTGGACATTTTTTATAAGCAGCTTGTTTTATACAAGCCTACATTTTCACCGCTCAGTGTGTACACACTTCACAGGTCCCAAATTGCTACGGTAATAACATTATTTTATCGAACACACTAATTGTAACATAATGCTCCATTTGTAATTAAAAATTTTGATGGCTCCGTGGCACAGTTGTCAAGGTATTGGCATCGGCGTCGGGGGTCGTGGGTTCGATCCCCACACGGGACAACTATTTGTGTGACCCAGAATATAGTTGTTTCGTATCTGGGTGTTTGTCCGCGTGAAATTTATGTTTGTAAAACGTCCTTACAACACAGGATAATGCTATCCTGAAGTGTGTGAGTGAAGCCATGTTTTAAAAAAAAATGCGGCAATATAATCATTCTAACACCAAAAGTTAATATATGTTATTCCTTTCAGATATCCGCCGGTATGATCACTTATCTAACGATCATTATTCAGTATCGTGTCGTTGATGAATGCAAACGGCATTATTGAGATTATAATTTTAATTTTAGTGTTATCTATCACAAACGCTGTATAATTTGCTTGAAAAACTTCAATGATTTAACAGTATTTACTACAACAATATATCGAGTTCATGTCAGCAGATAATTAAAATTAAAATTAGCACCTAGCAAGAGTCTAGCAAGAGTCAACAATGCTTGCTTTTGTTTTAATCTTATCTAGGAAATGAGTTTCTAAAGTATAACAGTTACCACAGAAACCTTGTTTCTCTATGGAAGTTATTTTTTAAACTGCACTGCTTTTACTGATTGTGTGTAAATCGTAATAAAGACCTTGAATTGTACTTGTGAAAATTTGTTTGTATGATTTATTAACATGCTAACGAACTAAAAAATGCTCTATTTTATTCATCTGTTAAATACTGTGTTAAAAGCATTTTACATGAGTAAAAACAGATCTAAAGCTTTAGATTCTTTGTTATGTGAGAAGGTGACAAGCGAGCTGGAGGATCACCTAGTGGTAAGTGCCGCCCATGGACACCTGCAGCACCCGAACGGTTTCAGATGGTTTTCCAAAGAAACGAAGAAGAACGTCTACTTCACCTCGGACTACTCTTTTAATTCATGGTTTTTAAAACATCAATTTTCGTCGAGAGAGAGAGAGAGAGAGAGAGAGAGAGAGGGAGATATCATATATCTAAACGAAAATATTTTTACGGATTTGTCTCATTAATTTTTAGTTCCCGACGTTTCGAACGCTGAATGGCGTTCATGGTACGAAGCGATGGACGTCTGAATCTCTCACTGGCGACAACCCAGGCTACCGCATTTTTAATTATTATATTATTTTCAATTACAATCATTCAGAGGCTTTTAACATGAAAAAGCATACGCAATCGTCCCCCAGAACCGTTTCATAATTTGTTGAATGTGTCGTTCGTGGAAGGTCAGCACGCGTGCCTATCTATGAAAGTCGAGATCCTATTCCAAATGTTAGCAGATATACCTCCACAAATATACGGTTTTTTTGGTTCGGTTTAAACCACACGGTCCTCTAAATAACTTGTTCCTTTTATTTTTCACAAGTACAGTCTCCCATGTTTCGATGATTTGAAGCTATTTTCTGAATTAAAGATGGTGTATCTCCAATCGAAAATTAAAAATATGCTCGGTAAAGTGATGAAGTGCACTAGAGTGCAACGTATCACTTATTCTCCTCGGCGATACATCAAACATTTCGGTGAAACAACTATTTTCTATAAAAATAATTTTCTTTATAATATCATCAATTTTTTTTTCTGTGGGATAGTTGGGCAGCTTCTAGAACGGGTGTGGAGGTGCTTTCGCATTGCACTTTGTTATATCTGTGCAAGGCTACGCCCGTGCGTCTTGCCTTTAACGCAATATAAAACCGTTTAAAAACTTTTAAGTTAAACGGTTTTATTCTATGTGCACTGAAAACTACAATATTGTATTGTCATCTAAATTAAATGTGTGTACCAAATTTCAGATCAATCTGACAACGGTAAGGTGCTTAAATTTCAATTTCTAATTTTGAGCCAAATAAATAAACAAATAAATTCCGTACGGGTCGAGCTAAATAATTACTTAAAAAAAACTTTTAAGTTAAACGGTTTTATTTTATGTTTTTTTTTTGTTAAAATTTTTTTTGTTAATATTGTATTGTCATCTAAATTAAATGTGTGTACCAAATTTCATATCAATCTGACAACGGGAAGGTGCTTAAATTTCAATTTCTAATTTTGACCCAAATAAATAAACAAACAAATTCCGTACGGGTCGAGCTAAATAAAACCGTTTAAAAACAGTGTGTTAACAGCAAGCAGTCGTGTCACTTACGTCCCTACAGCGTACATACCACTCTTAATCCAGAACCTAACAGTGTGATTAGAACATGTTCCGCTAACATTATATTGGCAGGTTATCTAGCTGGCCGCATGATTTGTTTTCTTTTTTCATAAAGGTCTATTGCTTGACTGCTATCCCACCTTGTGGAGTAGCAATGCAGTCGAAGATGGTTATGGATGGGGGATGAAAGAGGAGGGATGAATTAATTCGTGTTATTCCGATACACACGCCCCAAAAGGCAACCTGTAGAAAACCGAAAGGCCGGTTACCGTGCGATTAATAGTGCGATATTCGAGGCTAGTCTCATTTATCTGTTCAAGTCAATTCAAGTCAACAATAGACTCTTCAAACGCCTATACATTTATACTAGAGTTAAGTTTGCATTTAGGAGCACCCGCCCAAATATGGCAGCAGTACTCCATGCAAGACCGGACTTATGATGTTTCTAAGGTTAGAGAATGTCCTGGAGTGAATACCACCATCAATATACAATCTTTTTCCGGTTTGAGAATATTTTTTTCTCTTGTTGCTTTACTCTAAGCAACTGAAAGATGTTGGTACAATCCCAGGTAATTATCTGGAAAGTTGGAGCCAAAGTGAATGGGTTCCTCTTTACGGTGAAAAGACATGCCTAAATTTTTATCGCATTAAAACTCACAAGATTGTCATCACCCTATTTGGAGAGACTGCCTGCCTACACAGTGAGATTCGAACCCCCTAACATTGCATCTCTTTCGGACTGAATTTGACCCCTACTGGCCCCAAAACTCGATTTGAATATTTTCGCAACTGTGTTGTCGTCTACGTACAAAATATATGTGTCCAGGTATAAGCAGGTGACTGATATGTTTCAAAAATTATTAGATATAGCATTAGAAATCCCAATTTTCCAAAACAGAATCCTCAACTGCTATATAAAAACTTAGCCCCCGCAATCGTGGCGTTATGGAAAGTTATAAATTACAGCAAAAACATAAAATAAGAAGCCTGATTTTGACAATCCAAAATTGATAATTCAATCCAATGTTTTTTTATCTGATACTATCCAGATAATTCATTAACCAAACGTTGAGAAATATAAACCCTCTGTGCAAAGACCTCCTTTATGTACAGTTTATACTAGCAATAATACACCAATAAGCACCACAAGGCCCCTTCGAATTGGCCGATTTCACAAATCTTCGAAATAATATTTTTGTTATTATTTCGAAAATATGCAGGTTTCCTCACGATGTTTTCTTGCACTGCCGTGCAAGTGGTACGCCAGCACTTAAAATTAACAATTTAGTGGTGCCGGCACCGGAAAACCAGGTTGCTCGAGTATATTGAATTAAAAGCAAGAGCCCGGACAGTGAGCAATCATTGACGAGAAAATTATATAATTTATTGAGATTTCGCTCAAAGTATAGTAAGTAATATCTACACTGCTTCACTGATACTATATAAAAGAACATTGAACTTCATGTCCTACGATAACAATATCTCATTGTAGCACTTATTTTAGCAACCGGTGCAAAAGAGATGACTACTATAGTCATCTCTTTTGCACCGGTATTGTCAAATACAATTGTAAATCGAGCTTCAAATGGTTCTGCTTACAGTGATCTCATCAATAAAATCAGTATAATCCGAGTGCACTATTAAAGAAGACGCCGTATGTGTTATAATTTGTTAGTGTTTTTCAATGTTACTTAAGTGAGAGCGCAATGAAATTTTCAATTGCTACTTTTACACTACTAATATTATACTTTGTTAATCCCGGCAAATTGGGTGAGTTTTGTCGTAATTTGAAATCAAACTATGAATAAGCTAGAATAGATCTAAAGAATATATCTTTTTAATAAAATCGCTTATTGAACGTATTTAAAAATATTTTCAAAATATAGCGAGGTATGCATGTCTTGTGTATCATAATAAAATATTTTTAACAAGTATGAATAACTAGTTTTTATTTTTAAAAGTGTGTGATAAATATATTCCTACTTGGTACAACGCACTTTTAGAAAACTATACTAGAATACGACTACTACAACACAACTTACATTTAGGTTAATTTAGGTTAATTTTGAAGTAACATTATTAAAATTTTTCATCAATCAGTAAAAAGCTAGACAAGTTTAAAATTGACGTAAAACAACATTATCTATCGCTTTGTAATCCATAGTTTTTAATGGAAATATTCAGATTTAATTCTTCTCTCGTGTATTTATTTATATATATTATATATTTATTTATGTTTATGTATGTTTATTATAATTTTGTTTGTCTTATTATATTTAAGTCTATTTTGGTATTAAGTAAGTTTATTGAGCACACCACCTCCCACTATTCATTAGTTTATTTTTCCTCGTCCTGAGGTTGTCTGGAAGAGATCGCTTTTTAGCGATAAGACCGCCTTATTGTACCTAGCTTTTAAGACTTATTTCATACTAATTGTATCAAATTCTTTGTGGTGTACAATAAAGTATATAATAATAATAATAATAATAATAATAAAAACAACCTAAAGAACCTAATATTCAGCGGCATCTGATCCGCATAAACAGACCTCCTCAACCATGAAAATAGAAGAGAAGTCCGGTGTGAACCAAAACTATTTAAACACACAATAAGTCAAAAGTTTACAATAATTGATCAACCGTATAAAAATAATCATAAGTAGTTTAAAAATTCAATGACGTCCCTATTATCATAACACCTCTAACTGAACGGTGGTAGGGCCTCGCAGCAGCCTCGGCTGTTGCACGAATGGGCAGGCCCGTCCGGGTAAGTACCACGACTTCACAGAAGACCAGCGTAAAGTGGAAGTATGACAAATACTTTCGCGTTTCGTCTGGTGAGTGAGGTAGCCGGAGCCCAATTTTTCCAAAGGTTGCCAACGCATCTGTAACCCTCGGGTGTGGCAGATGTCCATGGGCGGCGGTATTCACTTACCGTCAGGTGAACCGTCTGCTCGTTTGGCAATTTTCCACATAGAAAAAAAAATTGATTGTATGAAATGCTTTCAAAGACAAAAAGCATTGTTGCGGCAACTGTTCAAAAGGTCAGAGCATCCCGGCAATTGGTCAGCATTTAGTTGCTAACAACTAATTGGCAACTAATTGACGATTGAATTTAACTCATATATTTTGGTATATTAGAAAACTAGTATTAACTAAAATAACCATTTATTATCAATTCGGACCAATCAAATCAAAGTTTATACGGACTAAAAATAATATATTTATTGAGTTTATACTTTATACGTAGTCCGTATAAACTATAAACTCTATATTAATATTCGATAACTCGAAAACGACAAGCCTAAAAAACTTAGATTTGTAAAGGGACTGCGAGCTAAGCTATATTACTTAACTAATACTAAAAAAATAAGAAGGATGACACACAATTTATGTCGTTACTTAATTAGTTACGTTTGTGTGTTAAAGGCTACTATAATATTAATGATTATTTAAATGATAACACACTCTTGTAATGAACTGATCGCTCCAGGCTCTTTCAATCGGAGTTCTTATATTGTATTTTAACGAATTTATGTCAAACTGCTTATTTAAAAAAAAAAAAAAAAAAGCCCGCTGAGTTTCTTTCGCCGGTTCTTCTCAGTACAGTGGCTTTCTTTTCCGAACCGGTGGTAGTGTTTTGACTATCAATAAGTGAGTGTAATGCTCCTATGTTGAATAAATACATTTGATTTTGATTTTGATTTTGAGTGATTATTGTGTTTCACCAGAATAGAGAATTTCGGATTCGTCTTTGAATCACGACACTTTTCGGATCCTAGAGGAATTAAAAACAAAAATTTTGGAAGAAAATGAAGCTTCAAAGACGAGCTACTGTAATTTAAAATTTAAGTGGTAGTCTCTGAAATAAAGATACCTAAAAATGTATAGATAAAATTGTCACAAAATTTTTCGCTGCGACCAGTATTCGAACCTTCCTAATTATGACATCAAGACGCATCAAGACTAGCCGAGCTACTAAGTTAACCGGCATCCTCGCCGTGCGAAAATCTCGAAGTCTTATTTACTTTGCATTTTACCTATGTTAGGCGTTATCAAATGTACTTCCTTTACATAAAGTACACATTCTCAAAAAGATTTCTACAATGAATGTTTGTAAACTAGAGATGTCGCCTTTGCCATTAAAATTTAATTTTTTACTTTTGATTTCTGTTCTTGTAAGTATCTGTTATTTTAAATGAAACTTAAAAATTTATAGATAAAACTGTCGCAACTGTCGCATAATTTTTCGTCGCAATTATTCTTGTTGTAGATTAAGTGTCCTCTATAAGTACAAACGGAGACAGTTAAACAAATACTATATTAAAAGACTCGCGTATATATAATATATACGAGAGATACAAAGGGCAATGACAACATTTGCAAGCTAACATGTGAACATTTAAAATTATTAGAACTTCGTGAGACATTACTGACGTTATAATAAGACATTAATAATAAGATAATTAATAATAAGACTACTAAACTCGCGTTAAACCAGTGTATATACCGACTAGTTTCTGACCCATCGGACCACCTTCATCAGGGTGAGTCGGACTTGTCGAGACGGGACTCGACCGTGAACTCTAAGACCACAACTAAAGATCTCTGACCGAAGTGTGTACCCTGAGTGAAGTATATAACCCGAATGCCTCTTATTTAGTATTTTTAAATACTATATGTGTAATTATTGCTTTTATAATAAAATAGGTGACATCCACAAACAACTAAGTATAAACAATTTCAAACCATTTATAAAAGCTACCTTAATGGCAAGGGCCTACTATAATATCCAAGAATACATTGAGGACAAGGATGTTTGGAAATTACTTTTGCTCTGCACTTGCAAGACCCCTGGCTGCTGCTGATTTTATACCTAAATAAGTGTGTATAATTGCATCAAAAAAAAAAAAAAAAAAAAAAAAAACAAGACCGCAGAGTTTCTTGCCGGTTCTTCTCTGTGCAGGTCTAGTTTAGTGAACCGGTGGTAGATTTTTTGTTGACGTTCAATAAGAGCTTAAGTTAGGCCTATATTGAATAAATATACTTTGACTTTGACTTATCACCTTTCCAGACAAACCATGTGCCGCGCGACAGATTAGCGAACGCTCTGTTGTCTGCGTTTGCAACTCAACTTATTGCGATGAAGTCATCAGACATACACCCGCTAAGAATCGTTTCATTGCCTATACGACATCAAAGGTAAAACTCAAACTATAAGTAAATCTATTATTTTGAGAAGTGTATACATATAATGAACTATATAACTATTCAATTCGACATGAAGAGCTTACATACATGTAAAAGGTCCTCTGTTGTCTAACAAAGTTAGCAAAGCTTTAAAGAATCGGAAATATTAATGCAACATGCCCGTAAACCAGTATGGTGATCACAAGGAAAAGATCTTTTGTTTGATGTCAATAAAAAATGTGAATCTACCAAGCACAGATAGAGGGTTTTCATGGCATTTAAAGTAAATTGCTTTATTCTGTACTTTTTTTCTATGTTTTATAGCAAAGAATGCTTCCTTTCATTATATTTTTGAAGTATTGTAACGCAGTTTATTGAAATAACGTTGAACTAGTGTAAACGATAAAAAAGTAAAAAGCGACCGCTTCGTGTGACATTTCGGTATAGTCGGGTAAGTATGACGAGATTTTTTTAAATATTCGCATCGAAGACTATTTGGGTAAAGAATTCCAATGAAAAGATATAAAATAAGGTACATAAGAAAAGTGTGGAGTTAGATCAAGGCAGGTAAACTGTTAGAATGAAAGAAATTTTTTATTTAAATTTGTAGAAAAACGTACGAAAAGTTTTTCGCCGCTGTGAGAATCGAACCCAAGTCTTCGGAATTCGCGCCCTGACGCTTTACCCACAAAGCTAAACGGCTGATTGCCACACCGACGAAAACCTCAACGTCTTTTATCTACACTGTTTTTTTTAGTTTGTATGCTCGAAAGGATATAACAATGGATGCGCCATCTGATGTTTCAATCTGATGCTTCAGTTTTTTTATAGGCTGGCTCACGGTTTCGGAAGATTGAAGGATCATTTCAACCTATGAATTTGCAGCGTGAGTGTTGATAATTTTGTTACGTCATTAAATACGCCTCGTATTTAAACCATATAAAAGCTTATATTAAATTGTTATTATGCTGTATTTTTAGTGGAATGCTGTAAGACAACACTAAGCGTAGATCCGAGGGAAAAGCATCAAACGGTTGAAGGGTTCGGTGGCGCTGTCACCGACGCGGCTGCGATCAACTGGAAAAGCATGCCCGAAGAATTGCAGCAGTATTTGATCGAGTAAGAATTGTTAATATACAATTTAAACATGATTTAAAAAAGTAGAAAGAGCAAACAGATACGATACATAAATGCACAAGGTACTTACACCGATTTCTCAATCATAAGATCCGACGACAAAAATAACTGTAGTAATAACAAAGGCTCTAAATAATTATCACATTTAAATATCATCAGATTTTTATTCACTGACCTATGCACGCCTGTTATATACAGGTACATTTATTCATAATTTAAGATTTATTAAAATGTTGACATTAATCTTTCTCTTTTTAATTCATTTATAATATGTTACATAAACACAATTAATACGGCATGAGTACATCGTTATCTTAAGGATATGGCAATGTGATAGCAGTGTTTAACGTACGAAGATAAAAATTTTCGACATAATATTTTAACAACTTAAACATAATAATTTTTTCACTGTCAGTAGGTAGCAGCAAAAAAGAAGTGACGAAGGTATGCGAAAATCCAATTGAGAGACTTTATTCGTTTACACACTTGCAAAATGCTAAATTCAATTGAGAGACTTTACACTTGCCAATTACTGAAAATGTCCAACTAAATAAAGTTTTTATTTTCCCAGTTCATACTTCAGTGTCAAGGGTTTAGAGTACAACATGTTGCGCGTACCCATTGGTGGTAGTGACTTCTCAACACATCCCTATGCTTATAATGAGCTGCCCGAAAACGATTACAAACTGTCAAATTACACGCTTACAACCGAGGATTACAAATACAAAGTGAGTACTTGCAGATCGAAAAATATTAATCTTTTTTTTTTTCAAAATCTATTATTACACATTCAAATTCAGTCCTAAAAATCAAGTTAAAGTAATACTTGTATTATCTTCGTTAGCTATCACATTATGGAATCCTATTTTAAAATATTTGAGGTGTGATGATCAGAAAATTCGTAGTGTTAACAAATGATATTTGGCAAAGAAGAGTGTTTCAAAAATCATTGAACAAATCTAAATGCAGATACCCATGATTGAAGCAATAAATAAAGTGGCCACGTCTCCTGTGCACATCGTGGCCACAACGTGGTCACCACCCGTTTGGATGAAGACAAACAACATGTTTTCTGGCTTTGGTAGGCTCAAGCAGGAGTTTTTCGACGCGTACGCTTTATATCATTACAAGTAAGCAATAATCATCATCATCACATAGTATAAAACAAAGTCGTCCCGCTGTCTGTGTGTCCCTATGTATGCTTATATCTTTAAAACTACGCAACGGATCTTGATGCGGTTTTTTTTACTAGATTGAGTGATTCAAGAAGAAGGTTTATTATATGTTTGACACATTGCGAACATGTATAAAACTTTGTCTCTGTTTTAACTCCGTCGCCATGTAGCTGTTTTTAAAAAACAGTTATCGGACTTTTGGTTCACGAAAACGTAAAAACAAATATTATATAAAAATGTAAAGAAAAAATTATATTTATTACAACTTCTCTTTATATCAGATTTATAGAAAAGTACGAAGAAGCAGGATTAAAGGTATGGGCGATTACAACAACCAACGAACCAATTGATGGTTATTTTGGAATAGCCTCATTCAATACACTCGGGTGGAGCATAGAGAAAATGGTAAGAATTAATAGAGAATGTTATTATTATGATTTTTTTCCGACTGCCGGAGGAAGATAATTTTTATCGAGCACACGTATCTGCGTATGTGTGTTTAATTCTTTGGCGCGCTCTACAACTTTTGAAGAATTTAAACAAATGAGGTCTCAATAGATTCCTCTAAGTTGTGAGAGTGATATAATGTATATAATTTAAATTTGATATCCGCGAAAAAAAATAATACAGGAATATTAAAACATGTAGAAAAATTACGCAAAGATTGTCGCCGCTGTGGGAATCAACCACGTCTTTGGCATTCGCGGCCTGACGCTCTAGCCACTGAGCTAAACAGCTGATAGCCACAGTGACGAAATTTTATTTATGTTTTAATTGTTATAATATATAATTATATTTTAATGTTCAATCTTAAGTGCAGAGATTAGCACTATAAAAAACTATAAATTTATAAAATGAAATGGCGACATCTCTCGTTCGAATTATCGTTGTTAAACGATATTCGAAATTGTTTGTATGCTGGAAAGGATATAACAATAGATGCGCCAAGCATTGCTTCCAATGCTAAATAACAATGTAGAAAGAAGGCGTTAAGATTTTTGTAAACATAAGAACTTAAGGTTAACTTAGCGTTAAGATTTTTGTAAGCACAGAAACTTTAAAATACAGGAATAGTTAGTATTAGGTCTTTACCTATGAAATGTTAAAGTGTTTTTTCAACTTTTTTATTTCTGTTATTCAAATTAATCACCAATGCAATTGATGATAACTATACCAACGGCAGTGATAGTCTATTGATGCGCTTCTTGTAAAATTCAGCAGGACGGAGGCAACAAAATCTACAAAGGCATATTGTACTATCGGGAAATATTTTTTTTCCCACTGTGAGTATGGCAGAGGGGGAGACCTTTCAACCATAACTCTTGTAGCTTGGAGACTTTCCGTTGTACAGTATGGGGTTGCGCGTTGTGGTTTAAAAGCAGCGGGGACCGATTGACAAAATCTGGTTACAGATGTGAATCTCTATCATTGTCTTCAGTTCTTCACAGTACACATCTGCGGTAACGCTCTTGCCGTTTTTTTAAAAAGCTATTATGAATCACACCGGCACTAGACCACCAAGTAACCATCACCTTTCTAGTGGTTTTTTATTTAGGCCGTTGCTTTGGAGCTGAACCAGGATCTAAACAACATGCTGAGCGCTTTCAAGTCGATCAGAATCCATTTTTCACCGCACGTAACAATTCGGTTCAAAATTCCTTCATTTCTGTGCCTGTTGAGCAGCGCGAGGAAGGTATCGATGCGTACGTTGCAATGGTGTCGTTAAGTTCGTGGGGCATATCAATCAATATTGTTTTTATACTAACATCAAAAGCTGCTACTAGCTCGTTGTAGATTGAGTATCATCAGCTGCCACAATCGCCTTTAATTCGTCATTGTTGACCAAAGTGTTCAGACGACCACGAGGTTCATTTTTCCAGTTAAAATTTCAAGAACGGAACCGGGCAAACCAACAACGGGTTGCGCGTTCGATTGTAAAGTTCTCTCCGTAAAAGTTGTTGATGTTACGTGCCGTTTGTGCCGCCTTGTTTTCACGACAGATATCATATTCCACGAACAGTTACATGAATTTTTAAAGTATCCATTATGACGATAAATTTTCAAATGTAATGAGAAAAAAACTGACTTTTTGAAAAGAATTTCATGTTTTAAAAAAAAATTAGAATTGTTTGAATAGATTTAATCTTGTAAATATTAGATCAATAGAAATGCTACATTACTTTAAAAATAAAATGAGTTTATTGTCCAACAAATTTTAATTCACAGCCAATCGAAACTTTTTTTGGTTGTTTGAAATGGCCAGTAGTTACTGAAGAACGGCAATTTCATAGGTAAAGAAAGACCTATTATATAAATGCAGTCGGTTTATTTGTTTAAAAATGTATGTTTCTTATAGTAAAATATTATTATTATTGAATGACTAAACCACTTCATTAATAATAATTAACTAACCTTTTCGACCTAGGGCGAATGGATCGTCAATAATTTGGGGCCCACTATTCGTAATTCCAAGTACAGCAATGTTAAGATTCTTGCCGGGGACGACCAACGGTTCACCATACCATTTTGGTTCAACGTGGTAAGTGAAGTTTTAAGTATAAAAGAGCAGAAAGTTCAGGTTATCCTGCTAAACAGATAAATTTTAACTTTTATAAACATATTAGCTGCTTGCTTTAGGTTAACCAATAATTGCCGAGGTTATTCAATTACATAACAACACAAATTATCTGATGTTATCTGATGTTAAATGATTACCGCCGCCCATGGAATTCTGCAACTCCCGTAGTATTTCAGAAGCGTTGCCACCTGTTGAAAACTAGCCTTCGGTTATCTCTCTCACCAGAGTCCGCCTATTCGTGCAGCAGCAAAGGCTGAGCCACAGTATTTTTACCAAATGTTCAATATGATATTTAGTTAGAATTAGTTGTATTATCTAAAAATGTTAATTTAATTAATAAACTAACAGTTGTAATCTAATCTATCCTATAGGTAAAATCAGCGTTATGTTTAGATGCCCATTATGATGGCAAAATGCTAAATTAGAACATCCTGGAATTTCCAGATGCTTCAAAAGAACCCCAAGGCATTGGAATACGTAGACGGTGTGGGCGTTCACTACTACGCGGATAGATTTGTACCACCAGCTGTTTTATACACTGTCTCTAAGACTCATCCCGACAAATTCATATTGGCCACGGAAGCATGTGAAGGTTTGATAAACTTAGACAAATTACCATATACAACAAAGAAGGTGTCGTTATGGGGTTTGATATTTTTTAAAAATAAAATCTTAATTTTAGGCAGTTTCCCGTGGCAAGAAAAAGTGGAGCTTGGCTCGTGGACCAGAGCAGTCAGATATATGGAAGACATTTTAGAGGTAAATTTTAACATTCCAAAGTAATACTGACTGATCAATTCTTTCATAACATTCGAAACGGAAACGAAACGCCTTTGTACCTTATTACGGGTACACTTACTACCAAAAAACAAAATCTTAAATAAATAACTTCGGTCGTCTGTGGAACGAGGATCCAAACGTAGGAGTCCATTAATGCAATAGTTTTTAGTTGTGCCACAAAATAGCAATTGTTGTGGTTCATAATATATGTCGCCTTTAATTCAATATACTCAAATAACCTGAGTTGGATCCACTGTGCCGGTACCATTGATATTGTTAATTTTAACATTGTCGCTTTAAGCAGAGTCGTACTATACGGATAACATGTTATTATAGTACGTCTATATCACAGATATGGTAGAGATGCTAACGCATCGTCTATATGAAACCGAACTTGAGTTTGGTATTTCGTCGTTAAAAACGGTGAGCCGTTATAAACGAAGTCGTTATATCTTTATTCTACTGTATGCGGAGTCTGCCAAGCCGCAGTGGGGCCGCGTGGTGGACAATGCTTTGAAACAGTGGCTAAAAAAGGTGGCTGATAGAAAAAAGATATTATAATATAAACGAATTTTTAAACTCTTAATTTACATAAAATACAAAATCCCACGAATATTATAATTATAAATAAATTATTCAAATTGGGATCTGGAATTCGAGTCGATCAGTGAACATTCAATGCATTTCATCGATAATACTTTTTATATTTTTAAAAATATAGTTCTAGAATACACTAAATATATAAAAAATTGAATTAATTTTATTTGACATAAGCACAATTTATTTTCATATCAATTTATAGTATAGGCTATTTATAAGTGGCTATACAAGTGAAGCTAAAAATAATTATAATTGTACCATCTTAAATTGTACCTTGTGTAATGGCAAATAAATAAATAAATAAATAAACCCTTTGCGCTGGACGACGTGCAAGTCAACAGTAGAATAGGTTGTTGCTTTATTTTACTTTTACATTAAATGTAAATACTTAGCGGAGCTGAAAGCTAATGTACAAATATTGCAGGACCTCAATTACAACGTGGTCGGTTGGATCGACTGGAATCTGTGCTTGGACACGCGAGGCGGTCCAAACTGGGCTAACAACTTCGCAGACTCGGCCGTCATAGTGAACAAGACCGAATTTTACAAGCAGCCCATGTTCTACGCCGTGGGACATTTCTCCAAATTCATCAAACGCGGCTCTGTGCGGATCTCCGTTAGCGAGAAGAAGTCGTTTTTTACTAGTTCCGTCAGTAGCGTTGCCTTTCAGAATCCCGAAGGCTCCATAGTCCTTGTCTTGTTTAATGGGTGAGTATAGAACATGGTTTTCCATTAATTGTTCTCTGAAACTTTTTTGGACTCTCTGCATATACAGGTATCTCTAACTTATAAATATCCTACATTTGCCTTATAAATATCCTACATTAAAATATTGAAATATCAGTCTTAAAGAAATACCATATGTGTTCTGTATTCTTTATTTTAGTTTTCATTATACGAGTAAAAGGCGGTAAAAGTCACTAAGGCTGCGTGTTATATTGTGATAATGTCTTTTAAATATACTTATTTTTATTTTTTAGGGGAGAAAAGAAAAGTGTTGGGGTGAAATGTGGTAAATACCAAGCGACATTGGATCTAGAAGCAGACTCCTTCACTACAATGGAATTCTTCTGCGATGTATAGAATCTAAGATGTTATGTATGTTATACTGAAGTGCTTAGAAGTATAGAAGTAAAAAAAAATAAAGAGGTGACAAATTAAAACAAAATTATTTTATTGCTATATTTCACGTTTAACATTTATATTCACTAGACACATCAGTTATTTTGATATATCTGAATTTGTTTAAATCTGAATTTCTATTTCTAGTGTTTCAACTTACTATTGATAGAAATTATGCAACTTGCGGTACAATTAAAGTTTAATTCAAATCTATTAAACGATAATCAATGGTCTACGTTCCTACCAGAGGAAGTAAAATATTCTGCTAAGGACTTTATTTTTACGTTATTATTTCAATATAAAATGTTGTCACGTCTTCAACCTTGACAGAGTGGAGAGGGATCGACCTAATTATTTACGGCCGGTTTTAATATTCTATCTACACATTGATTTGATTACTGGAGATAGAATTTTGACGTAAGTATTATGGGGTTAATGTCAAATATCTCTCGCTAATAACCAAATCTATCAACCCGTAGATAGAATATTGAAACCGGCCGTTAAGGCCCATTTACACGGTGCCAGTTTCTTGCCTGTTGTATACAATTAAATTGAAGCAATAAATGAGTTGCATGGTCTAAACAAGAAATGGTCTAAACAATTATTGCGCGCAATTTATTGCATTCAATTATTGCTCTTGTATGTTCAAGAAAATGGCATCGTGTAAATGGGCCTTTAGTCTCAAATACGAAGGATAGGCTGTTCGCCATAATCAGATATGTCGGTTACACATATTATATTAGAAATAAACAATCAGTAAATAGATAAATCTCGGTCGCCCCCGGTTCCATCTCGTGAGGGTGTCATCGCAAGTCAGACAACCTAAGCAACATGCCATAACTGCCAAAGTAATTCAGAATTCAGCACATATAAATAGAATTTAGAATGTATCCATAAAGTTTAGGTTTAATGTCCTAAGGGTTTTAACGCAAATTTCGAAAGGTTAAAACTTGCTTATTTATTCGACGACATTTTAACTATGCTCCATAAAATTAGTGATTTTGAGGGCGGTTGTACTTTGTTTGAGTTTATGTTTATTCCGAGGGCGATTGTACTTTGTTTTTCGATGAGTTTATGTTTATGAAATATCCCGCGATTGTAAGTACAATTTCCGAACCTGCGTATAGCGACGAGTTACAAATAGAGTTTGGGTATAGTCTGTACCATACGATTTATATATTACGTATGTTTAAAGTTCAAAAATATGTACATACCCACAACAAGTTGTACGATACTTTCCAAGTGGAAGAATAACCTAAGATGTTTCAAGTCACAGAATAGGAAGAGAAACAGACGGTTCACTTACTACTTACATAATATAGCACTTTAAAACATTCTTAACAAATGTAATCTTCCATTACGTTAAATAAAATCAGTAGTAATTGTTTGTAATAGCGCGACGCGCATTTTTCATACATATTTAAATATGCAAATATTTTTAATCAATAGAGAAACATGACCGAAACAATTATTAAGAAGTAAAGATTTGCACCAAACTTTAGATATATTAAAAAATTTTATTTATGAGAAAAAATTAAATCAACCTCTCATCAAAGCTGATCCAAACCATATTCTTTTATTCAATATATAACGACATTTCCAACGTTGAAAAAAGAAAGTTAAGCATTTTTGTGAAAGTATTAAAAACCAATGCGGAAATATAAATAATAATTATATCACTCACCAGCGGGATTTTCAATAAGTTCCAAGTCGGCAATCTGATTGCGCAGCAACCTAACACAAACCGGCAAAATAACGTAAAACTTGTGCAGAGGGAATAGCAAAATTTCTTATTATTATAATTATCGCAATTAACGCAAGAATCGCAACATAAAATATAAAGTGAAAATATATAGGTAATATAATTTATCCATTTTTATTATTAATTTTTTTAATTATTGCTCGGTGATAGGAAAGTATACGTAAATACTTTTTACTTAACAGAGTATTTATTTTCTTTTAACTGTTCTAGAGCCCTTCAGTATGAATCATATAGAATACGCAACTAGGGGAGTTGATTCATAAATTGAATGTTCGAGCCGTTCCCTATTAAATAATTGAAACAATTTGCATGGAAAAAAATGTTGCTCTTCGTTCGTACACACATATTATATTTTGCAAAAAATACTCTTAATAAATACCAAAGCTGTTTCTCTCCAAACTTTGCTTCTGGCTTATCAACTTAGGAATATTATCAAGTTCAAGTGTGCTTGGTAATCAACTGGTGTGGGAGGTTAATTGACTAAGAACACAATTTATTTATAATAGTGTTTGAAAAGATGTTTTTAACAATATATACAGTATATAATCTGCAACAGAAATATAGTTAGTAGTGTGAATAAACAAGGGAGAATTGAGCCTAGTGTTCTCGGTATTAAATAATAACAGGAAAAGGTCATTTAGGAGAACTGGCGTGCACCATCGTGACCGTAATACGCGCTGTTTTTCTTATTCACATCGACAGCAGAACATCATATGTCTCTACTGCTTTGTTATAAAGACTGACATTTATTTCAGAAGCATGAGTAGATCCATGATAGTTAAATAGTTGAGATTTTCACAGATGATGTATTTCTGTTGCCGCTATAACAAAAAAACTAAAAAACAGAATAAAAAAAATTTTTTTAGCTCTGCTAAACTTACATACAACAGACATGATATTTTTGCCGTTTTTAAAGATAATGGTACGGAACCCTACGTGCGCGAGTCCGACTCGCACTTAGCTGGTTTTATTTTAATTGTATCCCGAACGAAGGTCGTTGGGGTTTAGAATTTTGTTACGAATCCCAAATTCTCTACGATTTTCTTTCACTACATTTTGTTCTTAGGGGAGAATAAAAATAATAAATTCGCCATGTTACACAGGTATGGCTTGCAAATCGGAAGCAGAGACTGAAAACTTAATTTCTCTTGTTGTTTTCATTGAAACAAAAGTGTAAATGTTTATTTCGAGTACATTTAATGTATATTGTGTTTGCTATTTGTTATATTAACATTATACTCTGCACACGAACGCCTTTGCATAGTAATGAAAGTATTGTTTTAACACTAGTTTAAAATTTCACAACAGCTTTCTGCGACAACTATGGTAATTTTTTGAATGTCTAATACAAAATAATCTTTAAAAATATCTTAATTTATATACCTTGTGAAAAACTTATTTTTAAATAATTACTCAATATTCAATTAGTTTTCATAAAATTTTCATCATTGTCATTCATAAAATCTTAATACCAATTTTACAAATTCCTAATGAGACTTAACAATGTCTGTTATGATATTGTTTTTGTAATTTGTAACAATAAATCCAAAAATTTTATGTACCATGAGTTAATGATCCTGGCAAAGTGGACAACTAATAAGCATTTAATTGTTATATCATCGTCGTTTTTCAATGTTTGCAAAATTATTTTTAACCCTTAACTTGGCAGAATTTTATTTTTTCGAATATAAAAATAATATTCATAGCACTTAACTTTAAATGACCCAAGGGGTCTAGAAAAAAAATTTGAAAAAATTATTTAAACTACCCCTTTAAAAAAACCACCCGCATCTTATGGGATACATTGCCAAGGGCATTGATAAGTATATTACGCTATCAATGTATCTCTACAGATACAATGCCAAATTATCTATGACTTGATTATATAATAATTTATATGAAAATAAATATAAAAAACACGTTAATAATCAGTAGTTTGTACTATTTATTTATTAACAAAAATGGAACTTCAATGAAAAAATACAAAATCAGATTAATTTTAGACATTCATATTATGGAAATTGAAAAAACAGTTCCTATCCGGGAAAAGACACAGCCTCATACCACATTTGATGCACATAACAGTAGTCTGACCTTTGATATATAGTTTGCATCGTCCTTTGGACCCAAAAGTAGGGAAATGATTGTATCCATCATATTTAACGTCCGCAGTTGGCCTTACTGTGCCTTAGTGTTTTTTTAATAATCTTTTTTGGTGCTGGTGGTACAGAATCATAGTTTTTGAATGGCTGCTGTCTCCCAGAATGTAAGAGCCCTTATATAATATGATGTCGAAACTTCTTTAAACTCAGTCGTTTTATGTTATTCACGCCAATATGTCTGCGATACAAAATCCAGCTATTGTTCACGCACATATCTAACATTTGAGAAAATATCGGTAAGTACCATCGGTGGCTTTTCATCTCCGTTCTGTACAAAGCCACTAACATATCTGCAAGGTCGACTCCTCCCATATGTTCGTTGTAGTGCTTTATTATATTGGGACAGGGGACAGCAGCTCTCTGTTTTAAATCCTTATTGTAACCTTGTATAACTCCAACAGGAGTTTCAGAAACATAACTGTTTGCCACAGTAACCACTTTGTTGTCATGCCATTTGACAATACAGACTTTGTTTGTATTGCATACTACTCGTGAATAAGATCCGCGGCCTTTTTTTTTTTGAGGGCTTTAACAGGTATAAGCTTTTGTTCTGCACCACGTAGTCTATTTGACCTTATGGTGCCTAAGGAGAATATACCCGTATTATATCGGAGCATATGTATTAGCTCTAGACTGGTGAAAAAATTGTTAAAGTACACAACTGAACATACTGGATCAGGAATAGTTTTACATAGTGAGAAGACGACTTTTGCCCCAAAGCCCAAACTCATTTTTTCTGGTGAAAATAGGTGGTATCTGAAAGTGTCTTCACCTCCATATACGAGAAAATCATAAATGAAGCCTGAAACGCCAGCTCTAACAAATATTTTGTACCCCCATTTGCGAGGCTTGCTCTTTATGTATTGTTTTCGATTACCGGCTTTTTTTCCCTTATATGGTACCATCATTTCATCAATGCTGAACCTGGTTTCATGAGGAACTCTCAAAAAGTTGGCACGTACTTTTTCAATGAGTGGCCTAACTTTAAAATACCGATCACCGTCATCAAGCAGATTGTCGTTGAAGTGGATGTACCGTCGTATCTGTTGAAATTTTTTGAGTGTCATTACATCAGCTATTTGTGAAAATCTGAATTCCTGACACCAATAGTCAGTGTAGGCCGGCATATTCACGATTCCCATTATCAAATTTATTGCAATAAAATCTTTGATGTCTTGTGTTGAAAAATTAAGAGAACGACCAATTGTTTGAGTTGAGTATAAATTGCTTTACTCTGTAATCATGTTAAGGATGCCATCATCAAAGAAGTATTGAAAATATTCTAGTGGTGTTTTTATGGTATCTGAAGGTAACTGTTTATCGTGTATTTCGGCGTTATGTTCAAATTTCTTGTTATTCCAATGGAATTTCAGTTGCTTTCTTTGTATAGGTGCAAGGCGCCTTACAGCTAGCCGTGGCTGTTTTGAGCGTGTACTTATATTTGACGGCGATGGTGAGGCTGCTACTATTGCTGGCGGTGACTCTGGTGTTTCAGGCACTATTCGGTTAAATCTAGGCTTTTTATTTCGAATAACATTTACAATGGCAGTTGGTGAAGGATGTATGACCGAGTGAAGAGAATCTTGAGTTGAAGAATCCAAAGAAATACTTTCAGACGCTGGTTTCATTGATACTCTAGGGCAGGAAGTGAGGTTGTTTTCATCGTCAGAAAGTATGTGAAGATTTTCAAGAGAAGAAGGAAGCGAAGGAGCAGATGAAGATTCAGTACTATCGCGTTTTTGAAGATTAAAATTCTCGACTTCACTACTAGAATCCGAACTTTCTTCATCATTTGATGACTGACTGTGTTTTGGCACCAATGTGAGTAGTTTGCTAGCTCTTGAAAGCATTTGGACCTACAATTAATATATAAAATAAGCCATGCATAGCCATATGAACAGTTAGTTCAGCTTGGCAGTGTGCACATACAGATACATGACGATTTTGTAAAAGTTGTTAGTAAAGCTAGCAGTGTGTACCATGAGATACATATCAAATATATATAGAATTGTTAGTTTCTTGGCAATGTGCACGAGGAGATACATTCATTAAAAAAGTCACATGAAGCATCAACCAGACAATTAAAGAATGTCCAAAGTAATTATTTTAGTGTTAAATATATCTATAATTAATAACTTAACACATCCACTCATTCAATACATAAAAACAACAAGAAAAAATCATAACTTTTCTTACCTTTTTGCGAGGCAACATGTCGGAACTTGAACTAAAGTGAAGTTTGACAGCTCATCAGTCTTACCAACACAAAAAAACTTAAGTTGCGTTCCGAAACTAAGAAATGGCCTAAATATTCTTAATAAAATATCATGGTTTCGCTTAAAAATAATAACACTAGATTTTTTTTAATTCTGGTGTATCTCTACAGATACACTAACAAGAAAAGGGTTAATCCGTTCCATTCATTCTTGTCTAATTACATGTACCGTTACTTCATAAAAAGCCGTGTTAGTCAGTAAAGCGTTATTTTTAAGTGTTATTTTAAATGGAAGTGAAGTTGACCTACTAACAGAAACTAATTCTGACTCACAGCCAAGATGTCAAAGCAAATATCGCAGTTACGATAAAACACAATTTACATTCTATAAAAAATATTAACGTACTGTGTACAATGTTTATAACTTTTTTTCTTCTTTGTTAAAAAAGCCCTTACTTTAGGATAACATAATCCTGTGTTGTCCTTACAAACATAAATTTCACGCGGAGAAACACCCAGATGCGAAAAACCTATTTGTGGGTCACACATAGTTTTCCCTTGTGCGAATCGAACCCATAATCCCCAACGCCGAAGCCAATACCTTGACAACTGTGCCACAGAGTCATCTTCATCACTACATAGTATTAAACAAAGTCGTCCAGCTGTCTGTCTGTCCTTATGTATGCTTAGATCTTTAAAACTACGCAACGCATCTCGTTGCATTTTTTTATAGATAGAGTGATTCAAGAGGATGGTTTATATGTTAAATCCGAGCGGAGCCGGGGCGGGTCACTAGTGTATGTATGTATGTATGTATGTATGTATGTATGTATGTATGTATGTATGTATGTATGTATGTATGTATGTATAATTGTTTGGCACGCTCTGCAGTCTGAACGGCTTGATGGAGGTGTCGTTAGATTCGTGTTTACTGTGAGAGTGACACTTGGTACATCAAATAAAAATTACCCAGAAAAGCATTCGGGGTTTTTTTTACTTTTTTAAATTATATTCTACTTGTACAGTTTATACATTTTGTTGTTTTTTTAGACAGTGTTTACAAAGCTTCCAGCGTAAAATATGGTTTTTGATTCATAGGTTGTCATAAAAAACAATTGTAACCAGGCAGAGGCAAATTAAGGAACTGTAGTTCAGCTGTACAATAAATAATGTAGTCACATGATCTCCAATTTAGAACATATTTTTGATTTATTTTTTAAACTCCTTTAATAATACATATCTAATGATGCTCTTGTAAAATAATTATTATAATTTAAATCGCAACGATGATGAGTTTTATACATTTTCCTTAGAACAAAAGGATAAGAATGATGTAGATCTCAGTCACGTATAATGTAGAAAAACAAATGCTCGGCTGTAAGATACTCACGTCCTCTGCTAAACGGCTGTTTACGAAGCAAATTATTGCTACCGATAATGTTGAGACGACACATTATTAGCCTACTATTATACTTTAAAAAGCTTTATATAAGTATTTGGTGCATTTATATCATACCGTACACACATATCATTTATCATGAGAGAAGCCAGTAATTTCTTTTACCGTGAATACAAAATTATTTTTAATTGAAACTAATTTCATGAATTTTAAAACGTTTAATTGAAATTTAAATAATCAACCATGGACATTTTGATTAATTTGGAGCATTGTTAATTAATAGTAGCGATCTCTAAATATAAAAAAAATTCTGTTGTTATCAAAGAAATTCTAAATTTATCTCCATCCCGTTCCGGAGTCTCAATTTAAGCAGTAAATTAATATAATAATATAAAGTTCAAGAATGTTTTCCATCTTATGCTCAGCCCTTTATTTAAAAACTGGGCTGCCCGTATTATATTAAATCAATGCGTGATTCAAACTTGAAATTTCATACATTATAACTCATCGATTAATAATTATGGTACCGTTCTATCGCAGATCGTACCGTTTAAGAATAAATAGTAAGTACAAAATAAATTCCTTGTTTTTATTGTCATAGGTTCGATTTGGCGAACCGGTGAAAAAACATCTTTACATTCAAAAATCTTAATACAACCCTTATTATCTTCTACAACCCCCAAAGTAGGAACTGTTGTTGGTTGGCAAGACAATCATTTAACTCATGTGTACAACCATATAATAAAAAAAAAACATATTCCGCTTCCTGATATATGGATCTCGTTGCTAGCTAAATACCCAAATATTTTGCATCTATACGTTATATTCAAATCTCTGGTTATGTTGTGTATACAGGTGATTCAACAATTGTGTGATGAACTGATGAATCTGTTAAAAAAAGATCAAACAATTAAAAACATCTAGCGAAACAATTTTTATAGAGTTGAAGTTTATTTCTTAGAAAAGCGCGTCGATGCAAGATAAAAAATGGTAATTTGGTTAAAAAATAAGTAGTTTTGTGCACTAAATAATTGCTGAACGCTGACGGTCTGATCTACATACAAAGTGACTAATGATTTAAAAGTAGTTGCGGTAAGTATGACGTATGCCTCGCCTTCCTTCATTCATCCGTCCATATACAAACACTTCTCGGAAGTATAAATGGTCCATCTCCACAACACGGCGCCAAAGTTCACTGAACACGGCCATCTTATTTAATTCCCCGTTTTTCTCGTCAGTTGCCAGTACGCGATCGGTCGCGTTCGGAAAAGGTCGTAGTGTAACCTTTTTTTTTTTCTCGTTAAAACTCTTAACATGTTTCGATTGACAGTGATCGCAGGTTTTCTAACGGTTTTGGGATGTGTCAACGCACACACATATCACCTGGGAGCATGTCCAGTCGTCGAGCCGATGTCTGGATTTGATATGAATAAGGTTTGTAACTTTGTATTGAAACTTTGATTTGACGACAACTTGTTTTACGATTTCCGGTCAAGAGATTTTATGAAATATTTTTTTTAACTATGCAGTATCTCACGGAGTATGCGATGAACTTTTATAATTCTAAATTGCCAATGCAATGACGAGTAGTTTGATGTTAGGTGGGATCAATAAAACATGGTCATTGATGTTTTATGAAACAACTTAATACGTATCTAACAGCTTATCTATATTTGTACCTAAACAATTTATAACAAGGGTAGGGAAGGAGGGGTGTTGAACTTTGTTATTTTATCGTATCAATTACGGCATTCGTCATGTGACCCAAGATAAGAAGTGTTAATATATTAATTTTGTACTTATGCACTAAATACAGAATATAAATTTATTTTACCTATTCTGATGAATACACTTTTCAACCGACTTGAAAAAAGGAGGTTATCAATTCAGCTGCATTGTTTTAAGTTTAATTCGAGACTGCGTCATTTATGAGCAAATGTTAAAACTTCATTTTCCATTGGGTTCAGTCTAGCTCCTATGTGTCCCCATTTTAATTTCATTAGTAATTTTATATCTCCTTTATAGGCGTGTCATACCTAATTCTATTTTTGGTGCTTAATCGGCCGTACTTACCTTCATCTAATAAAATTATTCGTTTTTATTTTATTTCTCTATGCTCTTATTATAAAGTGCTATAAATCCTTTTGATTTGTTTTAAACCCATCACTTTACTCGCAATTACTTGGTAATTACAATTTTGGAAACAAATAATTTTCTTTAATTTTAATTTGAGTAGCAGTATTTATGAGTAGCAGTATTTACCTAACTTACCCACTTTTTTAGAAATTTTTTTTATTCAAATATTTGTAAAATTTAAAAGAAGTTAATTTTTAATAATGCCCAGAGATATAATGGGCGGGTGCCGCACAATTAAATTTACCAATCAACAAAAGAAACTATAAAATACATATCACAATATAATTCTACAAATTACGTTATATATGTAGTGCTTTATTTTAGATTCTTAGAACTCAACTATTGCTGTTACAGGAAGTAACAAATCGATCCGTACAACAAAAATAATACCTACGTACATACGTGTAATTAATCTTCCTTAAAATCGAATGACGTGATATCAGTACATTTTAATACACTACAATAGTGGAATTTGCCTATGAGTATGTCAAAAAAAGAAGTAAAATCGTTAAGGGCAGATTTAAAAATATCTGAATGAACAATGAAATGAATCATAAATTAAATGCAAAGAGTCTACATTAATGATGGTGGGTGAATCATAAAGCTGTGATTAAACAACAAAAGCGTTACAAGCCTTTATAAAGATGTCCGTACAATAGTGTTTTCAAATTTGCCTTAACACGACACGTCAGTTTTATTTACGAAAACTGAACTATAGGCTGAATGAATGTATTTTCGCTTATTTAGTCATAATAATATGGATTGCAATTAAAAAAAAGATCTCGCTGAGATGGTGCTACTTTTGTTGCAATTTGGCGGAATTTTTTTGCCTATACGAGCGTGGCGTCGCGTGCCAATAACAAATAATATATAAATACTCGTAGTGTCAGGATATTTACGGTGCTAGGGACACGGAATAGTCTTCGCTGTTGCACGAATGGGCAGGTCCATCCTGGTAAGTACCACGACCTCACAGAAGGCCGGCGTGAAGCAAAAATGATATAATACTTCTTAATTAATGATTATATACTTCTTTATTTCGTATAGAGAGTGAGGTAGCCGGGGCCTACTTTATTTTGGGATGGTGACAAAACGGGGCTGAAAACACTACAGATAGAAGGCATACGAAAATTCATCATCATTGCAAATACAGTGCCCAATAAAACCATTCCGATAAAAAATAAATGATGCTGTTGTAAATGGGAAAAGTTTATTAAAAATCTTTACCATGTCGAAACAACAAAAAAGTAATCCACCAAAGTCCAGTTTCAAAAATATGTTAACAGAAAGTAGCTTTCCAGGTCGCTTTTAATAATACAGTTATGTTGAAACAGTCGCAGAATGTATTCGCGCCCTCGTCATAGAAATATTTCAAGTTTATTAACCTGGAGTAACGGATGGAATATAAAGTTCGGAAACTTTAGCACTTTCATTCATTTATCGTATTAAAAACTGAAAACGACTAGTAATTAAGCGAAAGTGGGCTGATTTGGAGTTAATTGATTACTTAAAACACATTTAATACTTTTAACAGGTTATTTAAATGTAATAAAAAACGTAAGAATCAAAAAAATCGTTTTGCTAGATTTAGAAAGTGAATTCTGCCTAGGCACGCTATTGAACTAGTTACAATTGACTAAACAATTACGCTGCGACTTGTTCCAAATTGTTGTGGTTTTACTATCTTTATTCTTAACATCCGTTTCACGTTTCGCAGATGCTGGGGATATGGTACGTCATACAGAAGACCTCGACAGCGTCCCACTGCATAACATACAACTTCACGCGTACCGACGAGCCTGGCAAATACGAACTTGAGCAGGTCTCCCAACATTTCCTCCTTGGTCTGACGCCCCTCGAACACGACTACAGGTTTGTGAATGCGGACTGAAAAACTAACGATTTCTCAAGACAATTTGATGTTGTCAATTTAATTTAACATAATATAATATAACACAATTTAATATAATAGCTGCGGAAGTTGCAAGAAGAAGCTCAAAGACAGTGGTTATTTGTTTAATACACGCAGTAGTTAATGTTTGGGTTTCATCTGGTGAAAAGGATATCTACTGATCTACTCTCTTTAAGGTTGCGATCTACCTATACATACGATTACTGTAAACTCGTATAGGTTGTGGGTATCGAGGGTATATAAGACTGGAATGGGTGTCGAGAGTGGCTAATAAGAGAGAAAGTTGGTATTTTAACATCTCAATTCACACCTCAACCTCAATTCTCAAGGCACCTCTCACATTTTCTTACCTCTGTCTACTCTGTTAGAGTTGAAACACTTAAAGATTTATACTTGCTTCACTTTATCCCCCTCCACACTATTTTAAGTTGAAATCTATCATTCTCGACAACGTTTTTCAGTTAGTGGATAAAAACTATGACGTGGATTTATAATTTCCTTACCTACACAAAGCAATTTAATATTAAGTCAAGGTATTTTAACATCAATCGTTAAGTAAGCCCACGGAATAAACCAAACAGGTTTCTCTTCTAACTATTCCATGGTAATACATATTAACCACATAGATTTGTTACAGTATTCACTATTTATTTTAATCGAAAAAGACAACGTAATTTTTTTTATAAAATATTGTTTTCATTTCAGATATAAAGGAGTTCTCACCGTAACTGATCCCGCGGTACCTGGTAGAATGAAAGTGAGATTTCCTCTGAGTAAGTATACTAAATATTAATATATATATATTTTTTACGACATTTTCACACGTCTCTAGTCCCAAACTAAGCAACGCTTGTACTATGGGCTCTAGATAACTGATAAACATACTTTTCTTTTGTAAATATATACATACTATACGTATATAAACACCTAGACACTTGAAAAACACTATGTTCATCACACAATATTTTTCCAGTAATGGGGATCGAACCCACATCCTCTGGCGCGGGAGGCAGGTAACCCTACCCACTGCGCCACCCGGGCCGTCAAATGGTGTATAAGTTAATATTTTGTTAAAAAGATCTTAATATTGGTGATTGCCGTAATAATCAATAAATTTATTTATCTTACCTTTTTAATTATTAGGTAATCAATTTAGTAATATGAAAAAGTTAGTCGTTAATTTATAGAATAAAGACAGACGCCAATTAGTGGTTGACTGTCATTAAATCTGGTAATTATCAAATTGGCCAAAAATTTAGGGAAAGGAATCGTTTTGTAACACAATTTCAACGATTTCCAATTCATCGTTATCTACTTCTTAAATTAGTTCAATGTTTAATTATGCAGGCGTTGCTGGATCCGCGAGTTACACAGTCATGATGACGGACTACTCTACGTACGCGTCCATATTCACTTGCCAGAAACTAGCGTTTGCGCACAGACGGTCGGCCACCATACTCTCCAGGACGAAGGAACTTGACAAGATGTACGTGGACAAGGTGAGTGTTGGGTGAGTGTTGAAAACAATCATCATCATTTCAGCCTGTTTGAGTCCACTGCTGAACATAGGCCTCCCCCATAGACTGCCATGAAGTACGATCCTGAGCCACCTGCATCCATCGACTTCCCGCACATTTGCACAGGTCGTCACTCCATCTAGTGGGGGGTCGTCCCACACTGCGATGGCCAGTACGAGGCTGCCACTCGAGAACCTTTCTTCCCCAACGGTCATCGGTTCTACGAGCTATATGGCCGGCCCATCGCCAATTCAGCTTGCTAATCCTCTGAGCTATGTCGGTCACCTTAGTTCTACTGCGGATTTCTTCGTTACGAACTCTATCACGCAGAGAAATACCGAGAATAGCCCGCTCCATAGCTCGCTGAGCGACTTTGAGCTTCCTCATACGGCCAGCAGTGAAGGACCATTTCTCGGTTCCGTAGGTCATCACTGGCAACACACATTGATTGAAGACTGTAGTCTTCAAACATTGAGGTATATTTGACGAGAAGATTTGCCGTAGTTTCCCGAACGCTGCCCATCCGAGTTGGATTCGCCGATTGACCTCTGCGTCGAAGTATTAAACAATCATATTACACACAAATGAGAAGAATGAAGTAGATATGACACTAGCATGCCGAAGCTGAGGCATTAAAATTACGGCCATTGTAATTAGATATCTCGATCTATTTCTAAATCATCTATCACATTTCTTACAATTTACGTCATAATAATGTACAGCGGAACAATTTTTAAATGCCGCGCAATATGGACATGCCTCATTTTTATTAAAACATCATTGGGTTAAAAATCTATTATGTGTGAGTAGGTGACAATTAGCTGACATTTATTTTTTTCTATTGAACAATTTATACTAATAATATACATAAGTGAATATTCCACTTTTATTTCTTCAAGTTGCTTGCCTGTCAATAACCTGTATTAGCTAAACTATAGTTAATTATCAAAATTTTTGCCGGTAAAGTGACTGCGCGCGAACGAATCCGTTTAGAGTCCCGTTAATGCGAAAACGTTTCGGTGTTAATATATTTTTTAAACTCTCGCCTAATTCCACATGAGTGCTGACTAGCACCAACTCAAGACAATAGACAGCAATGGCACAAAATATCAGCTTTACTCAGTCACTCAGTTTAACTATCAACTTCTTTTTAAACGGTTTTATTTAGCTCGACACGTACGGAATTTGTTTATTTGGGTCAAAATTAGAAATTGAAATTTAAGCACCTTCCCGTTGTCAGATTGATCTGAAATTTGGTACACACATTTAATTTAGATGACAATACAATATTGTAGTTTTCAGTGCACAAAAAAAAAAAATAAAATAAAACCGTTTAACTTAAAAGTTTTTAAACGGTTTTATATGGTGTTTGATTAGGTGAGACGATGGTTGATGGAAAGTACATGACACAAACACCCAGCAAAGGTTTATGGGTTGGGTTTTGCATCGAGACCGAGTGGCAGGTTATTAACTGCTAACCTAAGTTACTATTAACCTAACGTAGTGATATATTAATCTGGAAGATATAGTTAGTAAATATAATTATGTTACATTATTGTTTAGATGCGGACTAAGCTCGCGTCATTTGGCGTGGACCCCTACGACTTGTCGATTATATCCCAGTCCGAGTGCCCCAAGCATCCGAACGGCACCGAGGGTGTGAACATAAACATCAACCCCGACACCTTCTCACCTCATAGCATTGGGGAGGCCGTGCGAAAGACCGGTGGTGTGATCGGTAAGACACCCTTCTAGTTTAGCCCTCTTTCTGAAACATTGATCATCAAAAGTTTAACCATCTCTTTGGCGATTCAAATGACATTTGACAAACCATTTGACAGCTGCTTAGTTGACATCTACAATGATCAATATTTCAGAAACCGGGCGTGAATGTGACGTTAGAAGAATGTGATTGGTAGTCAACCAAATCAGGATTTTTTTTTAATATTTTAGTAGGTTGAGTAGCAAAATAAAATAATGCAATGAGTTGTTTTTATCTAACAAATTATAAAAAGAACATAGTCAAATGTATTTTATTTAAAAGGTAGGGATAATTTTAATTGTTATATATTTTTTTTAATTTATGGCTATGTCTTTTCTTGTCTATTGTCTTTTCAAATTTTCAGCCGATGGCGTGGAGTATGTCGTGGAAACTGGAAAGAAGGTGTACCACAAAGTGGCCGACAGCAAGGAAGATCTCTCTGAAACGCCAACATCGCACGGAAACCGCCTTTCCGCTAGACCAGACGACGATGCTGAATGGTTGCCATAGATAATAGTGGTGGCCATAGACACTAAAAGTGATATATAGATAATAATTCATGACTGAACACAAAGACCGCATACATAAAAATGCGGGAATAAAAATACAAAAAACTAGCTTCTAGTAATAGTGTATTCTTGATTTTATATACACCTAATAAGAATACAGTTGGTCTGCGTGTTAACCTCGATTAATTATTCAGCCGCGTCCGTAGAAAGGAATTAATTGTAAGTCAACAAATGTCAGGAAATAATTATAATTTTTTTTATGATATTAGGTATCTTGTTTTATTTAAAAACATGTTTTAGTTTATAATTTTCCTCTTCAATAAACATATTCCACCTTATAATGGATGAACGTTTTTTATATAATATATTACCGTCGCTACTAAAATCTCCAATTTGACACTTTTGTGACAAAAACTACTTTTGCACATAATTTCTGAATAACCACTTTGATCTCATAAATTTAGTAAGAATTCCCACTTAAATATCTTATTCTACCATCAGTATACAAACACAGCATCAATATACATTATTATACAAATGCATTTTATGAAAAATGCACGAAAGGAAAGATTACGGTAGCTTTTTCGATACTTTATGTCAAAAAGGTAAACAGTTTTAAGCACTGCATAAAAGGCGTGAGTCAGAAAACATCAGGTGAGCCCAGATACCCAAGTATTCCCCTTCTTTCTCCATTACCCTTCTTTCTCCATTGACACAATGGGCATAGAGGATAGGGACCCTGTTTCTTGAGTTGGTTTCGATATCCGTAAAAATATTGTGTGAAGAACAAACTGTTTTTCTAGTTTTTAAGTGTTTATACATAAATCTATAACATGTATTTATTCTCAAAACAAAAGTATGTTTAAGCTTAGTACTTTGCTTAGTTTCGTACTAGATAACGTTGTGTAAAAATGTTCCGAAACATTTATTTTATTCTGTTACAATACTGGCTTGGTTTTTATGATCAGCCGCCTGCCTAACGTCAACCCTCCAAAGGAGCAAACACCTGGAACCAGATCTATCGATGGGTCACAAGTTCTTGTCCCGGGTGGCAATCGAACACACGATACCCCATCGGTCATCTTAGAAATTGCACCAGTCATGCCAATACCCAAATACGCATGGTTTTGCATGTTAAAACTTGTATTCGAAAAAACATTTGATAGGAACTACGAAATACGGCAGTAATCAAGTTACCATGAGTCTTAGTACAAAGTGTAATCTGTCGTTTAGGATTTACTGTTTCAACTTTTGATTGTAATATCGTCTATCCCCGATAGTAGTTGAATCGAAATAGAGTAAAGCGAAGTACTATGAGAAAACGCACCGATAGAGGTTATTAATTTTCTATCAAATAGTATCCTAAAATGCGGTGGAATTGGCTGTTAAAATTAAATGAAACAAATCTTTATTTAGAATAATTCCATTTACATTTATTTGTAGCAAGCTTTGTCGTATATTCATTTTTGTAACTTTTATATATGTATAAACAAACTGTTAATAAAAAAATGCAACAAAATTGGGCAACAGTTAAGCGACGAATCCACCGCGAGCGAAGCTAGAATGTGTTTGATTTCTTTTAACTCGACGTTTTTATTAATCAAACTGTTGCGATCGCTCATCACGATCAATAAAATTACTCAAACTTTATATGAGCTAATGATGATAACATTAATAGATTGATGATGAACAATTAGCTTAGTTTGCAAATTAGATAGCACTGTAGACAGATCTAAGCAAAGCTAAGATAGCCGAGGTGGCTGGCTTAGCGCGGTGATCGCCTCGCTTGCGATGGGGCGTGCGCTTTGTCGCGCCTTAAGGCGTGCAGCGTTCCAGGAAGCGCGGGTAGAGGCACACCTCCCTGATGTGGTATCTGTCCAGCAGCCAGCAGAGGAAGCGCTCTAGGCCCAGGCCGTAACCGCCGTGCGGCACCGAACCGAACTTCCTCTGGTCCGTGTACCAGTAGTACGGTGTGGGGTCGATGCCCTCGCGCTTGTATCCTGCGGGCAGGGGGGGTCTTAATAACAATAAATCAATTAAATTTAATAAATGCATGAGCGTCGAGGCACAAAACCCGCAGCGCCGAAAAGTTTTTGTCCATTAAAATTAAAAATGAATCTCACATCTAGCTAAACTAACACTAATATTATAAACGAATCTCATATAGAGCGCAGAAACCAGCAGTAAAATTAAAAACGAATCTCATATCGAGTCGGAAACCATCGCTCAAATTAAAATGAGTCTCATCTTGAGCGCAGAAACCAGCACCAAGATCAAAAACGACGACGTCGCTCCCTCACCCTCCAAGAGCTCCTCGTGGTCCCATATCCTCATGGAGCCGCCCACGATCTCGCCCACGCCCGGCATCAGCACGTCCACGGACTCGGTCAGCCGCCGGTCGTCCGCGCAGCGCGCCATGTAGAACGACTTGATCTCGGCGGGGAACTTGCACAGCAGGATGGGCCGCCCGATCGCGTCCGTCATCTTGCGCTCCGGCATCTCGGGGATGTCCTGCGGTGAAATATATGGATATGTACACATATGCCTATTGGCTCGGTGGATGCCCATTGGCTCAGTGGATGCCTATTGGCTCAGTGGACGCCTATTGGCTCAGTGGATATAGCTACGGGCGCATTACGCGCATTACTTAGGTCCGAATCCCTCGCGGCGGCGAAACACTTTTCGTCTATTTTTCTACGGTTTTTGAAATTTATAATCTTAAGTATTTTTTTTAAACATTGCTTGTGTTGTAAGGATGTTTTACAAACATAATTTTCACGCAGACAAACACCCAGATGTGAAACAACTATCTGTGGGCCATACAGTCCACATTTTCCCGTGTGGGAATCGAACCCACTACCCCCGACGCCGAAGTCAACACCTTTGACAACTACGCCACGGAGTCTTGAGTGCTAAGATTCAACAGACTGTTGATTACTCGCATGATTTAAGTTAAAACTTGTTTAACTACATAATACGTGTAAATCAGGCACTAAGCCCCATTTATTAAGCAGTTAATCGCATCGGACTAGAGCTGCGCAGTTTAATTCTATACCTTCTAAATTATTAGAATGTGTGTGTGAATTGTGATAAATGTGAACCGCAATTAATATTGCGGTTCACATTTATGTTCATTATAGAAATTAATCTTACCAAACAGATGTCGTTATGTGTAGACCTGGTTCAACATTGTTGATTTGTGTGTGAGCAAGATACATAAAAATTTCTACAGAGTAAGCTTATTTTACCTCTCCGAATTCGTAAAAGGAGCCATCTTCTTTAGTGATGTTATTGTTGCGGAGATACTCTATGGCTTCGGTATAAGCCATCCTCATGAAGGGTTTCTCAGGCCGCTGAAATTAAAAAAAGAAACAGATGAATACTTTACAAACTATCAAATTCTAATACAAGCACCATAGCCAAAAGTCAAATAATATATTACTTTTTTCGCCTTAATGCAGATTTTTGTTTAAATTAACCTATGAGAATTGGCTTTTAACCTAATCAAATGTTTTGAGTTTATTCATCACCAAGTGTTTCTTTTAGTTATTTATTTTATTTTTTGTAAGAAGGTGGCAAGCGAGCTGGCGGTTCACCTAATGTTAAGTGATAACTGCTACCCATGGATATTTGCAACACCCGCTGGGTTGCAAATTCTCCGAAACCGCTTGATTGATATTCATAAAACTTTATATGTATATTTGGTAGCTTTGGGAATGGGTCATCTATTTTTTATGCCCCTTAGTGATTAGGGTAGTCCACCCTAAACATATTTTTTTATTTTTCCAAAATTTATGGCAAAACAATTACTCTGAGCTAGTATTAGTATAGATCATTAGTTGTACCTTGAAGTTGGGGTTCAGCTCATGGACCAGATGGCCTTCCGGCGAGGCCAGGACCCTGTCCACGACGTCCACCACCAGGTCCTCGAGCCTGTTCAGCAGATCTTCGAATGTGATGAACGGGCACTCGGCCTCCACGTGACTGTACCTGTAACGTCAACCAAATTGCATAACAACCGCCCGAAAACCTTATCGTAACCTCGAATAACTCAACGATTGCGTTTAAGTTATTGTTGCGAAAGTATGTTCATTTCTCATACGGAAATATCTGGACGAAGACGGACACAGACGTTGCGTTTTTGATTATATGGACAGTTTAGACATATCAGACATATTATGATGTATGGATAGTTTTAATTACTCCTCAACACTTTTTAACACTAAGTATTATTCTTACACAAGTTCACACAAGATGGCATTATTACTCCATATTCCAAGTTCCAACAGTACCTAAATAGACGCCGTCGACAAAAATGGCTGGCGATTGGCTTACTATGATGAAAATGTGTGCGCGAGGCATATATTGCAGGTCGTGGTGTGGAGTACTGTTATTATACTAGCCCGTGGTATGGATAAATAAAGTTTACTCACTCGGCAAGATGGCGTCTGGTGCGCGATTGCTCTGCCCGGTAAGACTGAGCGATGCAGTAGACATCTCCCAGGGCTGGCAAACAGGTTTCCAGGTACAGCTGGGAGCTTTGCGTCAGATACGCCTCCTCACTGTTGGAAAACAACAAAATTGTAACACATTTGGGATGATCGGAGGAAATATATTGGGATCACATGTAAAATGTGTAAGTTGTCAAAGCATCACAATATACGATGTTGGTATTTTTTATTCCGATAGATTATAATAGTTCACGTGTAAAATGTTAAAGTTGTCAAAATCATAACTCATTCTACAATAATTTTTTTATATAGTTGAAGTTGTTTGGCAAATGTTTGACCAAATGGCAAATGTATAACAGCTTGTCAGGGCTGCTACGTATTTAAGATGAAATAAAATGGTAGCTTCGTATTTTATTTAATTACTCTGAGTATGATATCGACACGAATTTTGTTTACATTTAAATTCATATAAAATATTTTTATATTGTTTTCATCTTTAATTATTGTATCATTGTCTATTTATTTTTTGCGAAACATAATATACATTTTTGTAGTGACTTTTTATGCAGTTTCTATTAAGCATATTTTACGGTGGTAGGGCACGCAGCAGCCTCGGCTGTTGCACGAATGGGCAGGCCCGTCCGGGTAAGTACCGCGACCTCATAGAAGACCGGCGTAAAGTGGAAGTATGACAAATACTTTCGCGTTTCGTCTGGTGAGTGAGGTAGCCGGAGCCCAATTTTCAAAAGGTTGTCAACACATCTGTAACCCTCGGGTGTGGCGGATGCCGATGGGCGGCGGTATTCACTTAACATCAGGTGAACCTTCTGCACGTTTGACAACTTTTCGCATAAAAAAAAGCAGAGGACATACAAGTTCATATATTAACATTATCTGAATCTGTATTAAAAGCGGAATGCTTCGAACGCGTCGATAACTGTACATTTTGAATTTAAAAAAAAAAAACGAATACCATCGGAACTTGTTTAAACAGTTGAACAAATAAAGCGCCGAAGCGACGCAACACTTCGCTGTTGCACTAATTGGTGGTTCCGTTCGGGTAAGTAAGGCGACCTCATAGAAGATCGACGTAAAGTGTAAGATGCAAATGAATTTGCTAGCCATACGGGCTTGCAAATGTACACGAAAGCCTGTCAGTCAGTATGTTTATTAGAAATAATTTTTATCAACTTTAAAGTTTTCACTTCATAAAGCAGTCAATTATCCAACCTCGCGTGACACTGCTCAGCTTCGGTGATTGATCGAAAGCCGGTGTGACGTATACTTTCATTAAAAGAAAAACCGGCCAAGTGCGAGTGCGAGAAATTATGTATAAAATACGGTGGTAGGGCCATTTACGGTGGTAAACAAAAAAAAAAAAATAAACGGCAAAAAAAATCATGTGTTGCATGCGAGACCCCATTAATATTTTTTAATCATTTCTGTTTTTTAGTATTTGTTCTTATAGCGGCAACAGAAATACATCATTTGTGAAAATTTCAACTGTCTAAGTATCACGATTCGAACAGACAGTTTTACCCCTAGGGTACGGAACCCTAAAGGAAAGCGACCGGACAAACAGGTCGCGCCCTCACCCGAAGTAGCTGAACTCGAAGAGGGTGCTGCCGCCCTCGCACTGCGTCTGCACCAGCGTCGGCGGCGTCACCTCCGTGTAGCGGCGCGACGCGAAGTGCTCGCGGAACGCGCGCGTAACGGCCGCCCGCGCGCGGAGCACCTTCGACGTGTTCTCGCCGCGGATCATTATGTGCCTGCGGACGGGGGCACATGTGCACATGTACGCGCGCACATGTGCACATGCGTGCATGCTACATGTGCACATGCGTGCATGCCTCATGCGCTTTCAATTGATGCCTAATGCTCTCGCAAGTCAAGGGAGTACATGTGCACATGCATGCCTTATGCTATTTTAATCGGTGCCTGATGCTCTTTCAAAAGTCAGTGCAAACTTCGAAGACGACTGAATTCGGGTACTGGCGGTCGAGGCATGCAGCGTCGGCGCTACCGTTTGCCAACTTCTCACAAAAATAATCCCACCTTAGGGCTGGAGAATAAAGATAGTCAGAAATAACCTTTATCCAGTCTTGTAAACAGTGTTATCGATAAATGAATTTTACACTAAATTTCGGGCGCGTCTAGATTTCTGGTGAACGAGGAGTCACCTGTTGTCTAATTGCACATCGGGTAATGCTTCTTCATTCAATATAGAGTCGGCGCCCCCAGGTGGGGCGAGGCCGATTAGTTCCCAATAATCGGCAGTAAGTTCGTGGCCGCCGGGAGCCTGTTCGCAAAAATAATAATGGTTGTATAAATAATAAAATGGTGCAAAAATAATAAAAATAGTAAAAATGGTTGTAGGTAATTGAAATAAAAAATAAAAAGCCAGCAAATTTTTATCTCATTTTGTTGAAAACTGTGTGACATTTCCAATTTTGGCCTCATCCAATCAAAATAATTTCTAGTACAACCATTTTGTTTAAGATTTCTTTTTAGCTTAAAAAATAAATATATTTTTTTTGTAATAACTGCATGCCTCTAACTGGTATAAAATCTTTATATGCATACATGCATAAAAATTTTACTTCCATAATGGGTTCCAGTGGCTGGGTTCAGCTACTTAATGTATATTTTATTGTTATTATTTTGAATCTGATAGTAGCTCCAATACTTATATTGAAAATCCATCTGTCACTTCCGTTCTATGTAAAAATGGAACAAACTGAATTTGATCTCAGTAAACAGCAATGGCATACTCTTATAGGTTCCATCTTATTTTTATTAAACAACACTATATAGAATATCATTTAACTTGAGAAACTTATAAATGAAGCGGAAAGGACTGATTGCATTATTACCCAAAATTAATATGTATATAGTAAATGTAAAAACAACAGCTGCATATGAACACCACCAACATATGGTGTTGCAGATTTTGCCAATTTTTAAGTGAAGGGGCTTCTGGTTACATCATCCCCCATATGAAATGAAAATACTTTTTAAAAGTACCATATTACAAAGAAAAATTTTTGCTGCAGCCAAAGTGAACAGATTAAACTTATATATTTATATAATAACATGTGAAAATATTAAATCTACTTACAGTTTTCCCTTCAGGTACAACTTCAAGTTTTCCATATAAAATCACCGAGGATTCTGTAGATAGCACAAGTGCATTGTATGTCTGACATAGGGCACCGTGTAAAACGCACTGTATAAATCCGGTGCCATCACGCAGTGTGAGGAAGGCGAGTGCCCGGCCTTGTCTTCTTAGACGGTGAACCCATCCTTTTATACATATGCGCTCCCCCCTATGGTCAGCAGCTATGATGAAGTAATGTAAAAACACATAACAGACCATTGTAAAGCTATCAAGACTTAGTAGTACTTATAAATGATCAATATGAATAGCAGTAAGTAAAATTGAACATAATATACAATGCACAAATTTTTTCTTATTGACTAATCCACAAAATGTAAATCAAAGATAGTGATTTAATTACAATCAGATTCTGTAAATAAATAATAAATTTATTTAAAAGAAACCCAAAAACAGTTTAGTCAACCTTCATAACTACCTAATTCTTTGATCAGTAATAATTTGTCTCCTAATCGCAAGGTCTCTTATTAAACTGTTGTGTATAAATTAAATGGAATTTTAGACTTAATTAGAAATTATACGAGGTATGTATATAAATATAAGATTTGCCAAATCTATAATAAAAATATATACACGAGTCCAAAAAAAAATTTGAAATGTTTGCATCAAAATAAAAAATACAATAATAATACATTTACATGATTCCTCTGCAATGTAGGATTGCATCATCTTAAATTATTTTAATATGCAGATATACAAGCATTATTTTAAGTATGATGTCATATAAGTATTTTTGTTTTTATATTAAAATATGGTAGAACTAAGAGCAGGGGACAGTTACCTTCACATATCTTTATTACTTTTGCTGGCGGAAGTGAAGGATCTTCTTTTAAAATAATCTTTTTCGCTTCTTCCAAATTTTGCTGCCTTTTTTCGTTACTATCTTCATCAGCTTTGGCCCTATCAGCTGCTTTATAATTTTCTCTGACCCAGATTTTCTGAATTTTTTTTAACTGTGATTTTGCTGCAACATCATAGTCAATCCCTTCTTCCTTACCATCAACGTATATTGTAGGAAAGGGTTCCTTGCCTGCATGACGCATAGCTTGTAATATAGTTTTGAAAGGGTTTTCTTTAGTTCCATCACCTGTATCATCATTTCCTTTTTTCTCCGACGTATATAGTTCGACTAAAAAATTAATCATAGTATAAATACTCATACTATTAGGGTTAATTATTTAAAAATTAATTTACTTGCCTAGTGTCAGACCAGCTATATTAGGCATTCTGCAAATTTTGTTTTCCTACTTATTAATATTAAGATAGTTTCCACTTGGTAATAAGAAGGTAATTTGAAAAGTAAAATATATTTCACGTTTTCTCCAACTTAGCACTTATTGAGTTGCACATTGCAATGTTGCCAAATTGGACTACTTACAATCAATATTGCCATTGCCACAAAATTAATGTCAAAATATAAGCTTCTAAGCTTCAGTGATTTTATAAGCAAAATTTTTACAAAACAATGCTAATTGCTTTTCAATATACTAACATGTTTCAATTAAAAATAGAACTTTCTTTAATTGTGAAAATTGCGGTGCTCACCCTACGCGACAACTGTATCGTGATCATGAAATGTTTTACATGAATAAAAGTGTGATCTAGAATCTGGATAAATATTATATTAAAAAAATTAATATTTAAAGGAAAATAATATACTTTAAGTCCATTGTGCGTATTTATACCGATTTTGCAATAGTTTTTCTGTCTCAATGTTCAGAGGGTAAGAAACCAGCCTAGGCGAATATTTTTGGCTTGTCTTGTTTTTTATACCATTACACTTCACAACTTTGATATTAACAGAGTTTGATGAAAAGGGGCAGAAAAAACAATAGATTATTAAACAAAACACATTAATGTTTTGTTTAATAATCCACTGTTTTTATTTTCCTTGTTCAAATATTTTATAATGGTGTGGAAATCTCATTATAATGATGGTTATGTTTTGTTTTTTTTATTTTATTTTATTCATTGTGTTTATATATATCCCACAAATCTCAAAACTAAGGCTCAAAAGAAAGAGTAGAAAATGAAAGAGTAGAAAATGCGCATTAAATAATTAATTAATTATTGTTTAATTAGCTATTATGCATTAAACTGGGCATTATGGGGTTTGACGTTATGATAGTGCCAGTCTGCTAAGCCATAATTCAAAGAAAATGTAATCACTACGTTTAATTTTTGACAAACAACATGGCACTTCTTGTAAACGTAGTGATTACATTCTCTTTGTTCTTGTATTGGAAGAAAGAGAAACCGCAATGAGTGAGTGTGATAGCAATATCCGCTATTATTTGTCACGTAAAGTCCATAGAAAAAATTTTTGTTCCTAGTTTCGCCAGACTGCCATAACTAAGAACAAGAAGTGCCAGTGAAGCTAAACGTAGAGATTACGTCCTCTCCGGTGCAGCTTTATTTTTGAAACGCCACAACAAGCGTATTGTACAAATTAATATTGACTTAGATAAACTAACAAATAAGATTTCATTGACAATTTTGCGTATAATCGATTTGTATATTATTTGTGCGCGGGATAACGCGAGTATATAAATGCGAGTTGTGCTATTTATTATCAATCGCTTGTATGAATGTGCATATTCCATGCACTATTTACGTTCATTGGTTTCATGATTAAACTTTTACTTCAGGTTGAATAGAACTGATAGAATAAATATTTTGAACGACATAAATATCTGTCAAACCTAGCAAAAATATAATAATTTGAATATACTGAGTTATTTCAGTTCTTCGAGTGATGTGGCCTGCCCACTGCCACTTCAACTTGCAGATCCGGAGAGCTATGTCGGTGACTCCTGTTCTTCGGCGAATTTACTCGTTTTTTGTTTTAATTTTCAATGCAGTACACTCGCCCAAACCTAGTGGCAGGCGTCAGTCAGGAACTGCTGTGTACGCATAGGAACCCGATGGATGTAGCATATGCTCTCAACGAAATATACAGTGGCATATACTCTTCCAGATCCCTTGTGCATTCGTTGAGCATCGAAAGATACTCCAACTCGCAAATACAGAAACTCGTCCCGAAACGCTTTTCCTAGTCTATACCCAGGCGGAAAAAGAGGCCCTTATCAACCAGGGATATGGATCGGGCAACTAGGACTAGCATACGGGTCAGTCGTTTTCATGCGTACAAAAGTGAGCAAACTACAGCTAGCGGCGGTAACCCGGCACACGGTCAGCTGTGTTTACTACACAGACGACTTTGACGACGCAGTAGGACGCCTTATCCAAAAAGCCATGGCGGCATCAACCTGCAAGATAAGAGACTACAACCTTAAAATGGCAATTAGGAACAGAGACGCAGCGGTCGCAGAGAGGCTAGCAAAGAAATAACACCTATTACCAAATAACCTGCGACGACGAGATCTCCGTCCATTCTCCCTACAGCAAAAACTGTGCAGATCAAAAATATATATAAATTAATTATTTTATATATATATATATATATATATATATTTATGAAGAAAATAATAATAATAATAATAATAATAATATCTATAAACCCAACCAGACGAGAAAACAAATGAATATCTCCCCATAATAATAAATAGACTGAAAGCCGAAACAGATAAGAAGACAAAGTATCTGGACCTGGCTCACGAGGTGACCGACATGTGGGGTGGTGTGCCGACCGAAATTATCCCGATAGTCGTTTCTGCCAATGGGTTAATCCCAGTCAGCCTCTCCATCACTGAGGCGACTGGGACTCCGGGACGGATCGCTCCAAGCTCAAATGCAGGTGGCGGTGCTCTTCGATACCGCCCGCATCGTCCGCCGGTATCTCTCTCTTTCGCCCTAACCCTCGGCCGTTTTGTCTCCCCTGCCGAGGGCTTCCGTCTGGTTGGGTCCTATTTATATATGTATTATATATAAAACTTATATCTATATGTTTATTTTATATTTATAAACCCAACCAGACGAGAAAACAAATGAATATCCCCCCATAATAATAAAAAATCTGATATATAAAATTCTCGTGTCACGGGGTTCGAACTTGAACTCCTCCGAAACGGCTCGACCGATTTTTACCAAATTTTATATGCTTATTCAGTAGGTCTGAGAATCGGCTACTATCTATTTTTCGTCCCCCTTAATGTTAAGGGGGTAGTCCACCCCTAAATTTATTTTTTATTTTTAGGCAAAATTTTTTGTTTTTATTTTTTTATGACACAGCATACAAAAATACATACAACCCTAAATTTTCACCCCTCTACGCAGGCGTAGTCGCGGGCAGCAGCTAGTATATATATATAAATATGAACTCACTGCTGCACCGCTACCAGCCCGGTTGATGTACGGGGCGGTGACAGCCTAAAAAGAAAATTTACAAAAAAAAACATGTTAATCAAAAAAAGAGTACGGACCACGAGTCTGTAGAGTTACTGTGTTAAAATAAAAATAAAAAAACTGAACCGTTTGTCCTCGAGTGGCGACCACGAACCGAAAGACGTAGCATTCAAATGCCTCCCTCTAGGTGGACCGACGACATTATATGAGTCGCAGGCTACCGGTGGATTCTAATGGCAAAGTGAAAAGTGTCATTCGTTGTGGCGTTCTAAGGGGGAGGCCTATGTTCAATAGTGGACGTCTTGCGGGTGATGATGATGATGATGATAAGTTATTTACCCGTCAAATTATTCGGCTAACTCATTGTATGGTAAAGCACGGTCCAATATAAAGGCGTTACGCTAGACTAGATAAAAAGCTGACATCCAAAATGCTACTAATGTGCATTTAGTTAGTTCTATGTACAAAAGCCCACCTTATTTAAAAATAATTTTTAAGTTTCTTTGATACAGACCGGATACAAATCTCTTTAATATAATAACTGAAATAGGGATGCCGAAAAAATATCGATATATGGATATTTTTTATATATATGGCGGTCTTTTACTAGCATTGTCGCGGATGCAGAGTTGCATTTTGTACTATAGTTATGGTATTTATACTACAATTTGATGCTTCGTACTTTATACTATCCATATTTTATGTACAACATATACCATGTATAGAGGTGTTACAAATCATTAATATTGAAATCCATACGGTATTATTTTAATTTATAAATAGCATGCAAAATATTAATGGCATTAACTAAAGTTACTTTAATTAAATATGTAAATAAAGTTAACAAAAATTTAATTATAATCAAGTTCTCAATAATTAAATGTTTATGTAAAATTTATTATCATTTAACCACATAATTAACTTCTTTAAATTGAGCATTTTAATTCAATCAAACAACTATTAGTAAACTCTGTTGATCTAGGCCTGTCTTTTAGGAAAAATCTCTCGGGTAAAAAATCGGGTTTCTTTTTTACCCATTATTAACTCCGTTTTAAACAATTTTTTATGTCGAATCGTTTCAGAGCTAAAGAAACTGATTTATCTTACTAAATAAGCTGTTTGTTAAAGAAATTTGATTAATTAATAAATAATTAACGTTGTAGTAAAATTTCTCATTCGTTTAAATAATGTGACTTTGGTATAAAAATTACTATTACTTATTATTGAATCAGACTGAACTAAATACATTATTTTTTTAAAACTGAAAATTTGACTGATATATCGATATTTATTTTTTCGATATATTGAGGTCGATATTCATGTTTTTATAAATATCAATATATCGATATTTTTTTCGACTTTCGGAATCCCTACTCTGAAAAAAAATGTAAGACAGCACACGTTTTTAACTAAAGCGGGGTATACAGTGAAGGTATTCCGGTTCCGATTTTAATGTAATGACTCTTTCCAGTGAGGGTATTGAACTGTGCTTAATTAAAAGTCCCAAAAAGATAAAGAACGATATTAAACCACTGAAAATGTGGCGTAATCCATTATGTTCACTAGGAATATAACTGTTGCTATAAACGAGAGTTGTTGACGAGTACATTTACCTATTACAGTTAGTCCCGCTAGGTAAGTCCAACTTCGACGCAGAGGTCAATCGGCGAATCTAACTCGGATGGGCAGCATTCGGGAAACTACGGCAAATCTTCTCGTCAAATATACCTCAATCTTTGAAGACTAAAGTCTTCAATCAATGTGTGTTGCCAGTGATGACCTAGTCCTTCACTGCTGGCCGTATGAGGAAGCTCAAAGTCGCTCAGCGAGCTATGGAGCGGGCTATGCTCGGTATTTCTCTGCGTGATAGAGTTCGTAACGAAGACATCCGCAGTAGAACCAAGGTAACCGACATAGCTCAGAGAATTAGCAAGCTGAAGTGGCGATGGGCCGGCCATATAGCTCGTAGAACCGATAACCGTTGGGGAAGAAAGGTTCTCGAGTGGCAGCCTCGTACTGGTCATCGCAGTGTGGGACGACCCCCCACTAGATGGGGTTACGACCTGTGCAAATGTGCGGGAAGTCGATGGATGCAGGTGGCTCAGGATCGTACTTCTTGGCAGTCTATGGGCGACGCCTATGTTCAGCAGTGGACTCAAACAGGCTGAAATGATGATGATAAACGAGAAAACACAACTGTTTCAAAACACATATTTTAATTGACAAAAGATGATTCGGAAGCTCATTGGCTGCACCATTGTGGCACCAGGGGTCTGTTCAATTCCATGTTGTGACCCAAGTTCAATTAGAAAACCCTAACCAAAACCATTAAACAATTATTAACTTATGTCAACACGAGCATTTAGTAAAATTATACCAAGATGAAAGTTAATTCAAACAGAGCATGTATGCGTTCTAGTACGACATATGCGAGTGTCTGATTCCAGCATATCTTCGCAAATCATTTGTATCTGCTTCAAGTGATCTTTATCCGATTTCTAAATTTTTATTCCAGTCCTAGTCAAAACTAGGAGCAAACATACAACAGGTTATTTCTATCTAAAATTACATATTATCTAATAAACCTAATCCACGCGGCATGGTGCCAAGAACGCTAGCTGCATTTCCTCGCTGAATAGTTATGATTAACCTTTGAGAGAGAAAAGAACCAGCTCTCTTGTCACCAGCCGCAGCGTTAAGCCTAGGACAAAATTTTAAAATTTTTTGATATCCGGGGACCCCACGGTCCTAAAGTTTCAACAGCAAATGGCTCAAATACATAATTTAAACATAAAGACTCATATTTGTGCCATTTACTTACTTCAGCTGCCTCCGATGCCGCCCCGGCCCTGACCGAAGTACCCCTTAGATGAGAGGCAGCCAAAGTGTCTACACAAGTGGCGTATTTCTAAATGAAGTGTTACAATCCACTGGCAACACTGCTTAATATACGAGCAATAACAATTATATTTAATAAACATTGAACCATATCTGGTATAATATTATGTAATAAACCATGCTTAATAATAATTTATAATTTAATAGGTCAATCTTATTAACTATAAGTGCATTGATATGTAATGTAGTTGTGATGACTCATCATATTTTTGTATATAAACGCATAATGTTTCAGTGATAGGGTAGAACACTCTTATCCTTTGTATAGGACGTTACTCTGTACTAATAAGTAGGAAGTAGTCTAATTAATATAAAGTTGTTTACGCTATCCTCACTATTTTATTTTGGCCGACCAACCTACAGTCTTTAATAGAAGACATTATATAACACGTTAAATCAATACCCTGCACCGTCATATGATCATATGTTTTGTTGCATTAACCAGGTACTGTAACTATGTATTTTAATTTACCTTCGTCATCTATTATCGGGTTGACGGTTGTTAAAACATTCAGTAAAAGGTTGCAAATTAAATTATTTCAAGACATTAAAATGCCTTTCAATGTGTCCATACGAGAAACACTCGAAATTACGTCGATCTACGAGGGCGAAGTGACATCTGGTAAAAATAAAACAAGTGTAAAAGTTTTATTGAAAACTTAACACCTTTTTTAAAGTTGTCGGACGTTTAAAACATAGTCCCCTCAAACCGTGCAGGACTGCAAAGCAGGATGTAGCTCACACACTATCCTGCAAGCCGTCCATCATAGTGTCAGTGTTATTGTTGTAATAATTATGGATTTACGTGAAGTATCGAAAAAAAAAAAAGAAAATAGCGATTCTGCTATGTTTTTTTTGTTGTTAGATAAAAGTTTTTATTAATAAATAACCTTTCCTCACATTATCATACTAATATACATAAAATTTAACTAATAATCTAAGCTTTTCTCAAGTTGAACTATTTCAATATAAAAAGGTTTTTTTTTAGCTTAGTTTTAGTTATCACATCAGTCGGGCTTTCCGGGATGCACACTTTTTTTTTTGTTTAAAATAAAGTACCCAATCCTGTGTAGTTTTTTTCTAACATGTGCATAAAATTTAATTCCTAAAAGTATTTCTAAAAAATTCCCTGTTACACAATTTCTGTTGTAAATCTGTACTGTGTAAATTTACGAAAAACAAATCTTAATTTAGCATCCGTATTTTCATATAATATAGCGCAATTTTGCTAAGGGCTTAGTGCATTTTTTTTTCTTCATATGGCAACACTGCCGCTATGCAGGACGGCCAAACCACTGACGCTCCTGCGCGGCGGACTGCAAGCGGTGGGCGGAGCTTGCAGGTCCTTTGCAGGATGCAAGGCGCGTCCTACTCGGTGTTGCCAGAAACTGTGCAGGCCTGCAACACCATTCACGATCCTGCATAGAGCGGCGGACTGCACGGTGGACTGCCAGGCAGGATAGTGAATGGGCCCCTTTAAGTACTCCAAGCATATCATAATTTAGCGGTTCGTGAGTAATGGCGTGCAAGTTACGCGAATGAATGTAATTTATTTATTAATTTCGTTATTTATAATTATATCATAATGCTAATATTTATTATAATTATTACACCTTTTTATATCACCTTTAAAATATGTTCTGGCCAAACCCAATTTCGGTTTAACCTTGGCGAAAGTTTAGACCAAGACAAACTATTTTTGCATAATTCTTTTATAATTAACTATTCTGGCTGAAGTAATTGAAAGGTTGCAAGTGAAACAATAAGCACGTGGGAAGCCGCTAATGCGGTGATTGTCGTCCCTCGCCTCTTTTTACGATGCTGCAATTCGCTCCTTACGAGCTAATGGTGCTATGACTTATGGACGTGCAATGTGAAAATAATTTCATTTTTCGGTGAATGTGCACTAGACGATATAGTGTTCAGATTAATCAGTTAGTATATGGACAGAGATTTTTAGTACAAAGGGAAAACATAAAATCTTCTCATTTCAAAAACATTGATACAGAACCTATATAATATTTTCAGAAACCAGATCTTATCCTACTAATGAAATAGGTTTTATATGAGAGATGACTTTATCAAAGCCTATTAAAAAGGATGCGATTGTAAACATTGCTTCTGTTTAAAATTACAATAAACAAATTTTAAAATTTGTAATTAAAATTTAAAAATGGATGAGTTTTTCGCCGCTAAGAGGATTTGAATCTGCTTTCAGGATTCGCGTCCGGCGCTTTTACTGCCAACAAGTTTTAATTCGTGGTGACAAGAAAAAAAAGAAATGTAATAAGATCACGTCGTTTAATTAAAAAAAAAAAAACAGTTGACATTCATAAAAGACATGAAAAACGTTAGTGGTGTTACTTGATAATATCGTTAGTCATTTAGAGAAGTGTAAGCCGGATCCATTGACACAAACGTGTCAGCATTAAACAGGTAAGTGTCACACAGGTTTTTTCTTTCAAATGCTTCCAACAACTCCGCGTCGAGATGCTTATTGATTATAGCAGTGCAACGCAGATCTGCAGCGGCATGCGCTAAAGGTGCACGCAGTTGGTAAACAATGACGGCTTGCTGCGAATAACTTTGCATGGAATTTTGAGAACTTCCGTCAGACGACGCGGCCTGAATTAATATTATCTTGGAACGGAGGGCTCGGGGTGTTGGTCTGTAGGCTTGTAATTGTTTGATTCGTCCGTACGCACACTCAATGGTTTCCCGTGCATATTGTGCAGAATGGGACACTCTGCCCAAAATTGATTGCACGCATGTTTTTACTTTTTCAGGCCACGATGTTGCATTTCGTATCTCGTCTTCCAGACCGTCAGTTTCGCCACCTACCATCAAATTACACATATGCAGCGCTGTCGCGATTTGTAACTCTTCGTCATTTTCATATTCTCCAAGTTCTTTGTCGAGTGTCAATCGAAATTTATCTGGCGACTCTCCAACACAGAAGACTGTTCCTGTAATTCCTGTTAACAAACAAGTGTATTTGGTAAAAAGCGTATATTCCAGGTAGTAATTATAAATCCAACAAAGACTTAACCTACCCTGATCTTCTAGGATAGCAGCCATTTCTAAAGCTACCAACGTTCCACTTTCATATCCCATGAGATAGAATTTTCGTTTTAGCTCAGCTTTTTTCAAAAGAATCTGTAAATAAACGTAATTTATATAGTATTGTACATTTATTTATTATGGAAGAGTATTCTTTTTTAAACCTAGATACAACGGATTTAACTATTTCGTGCTTTATAACAGGAAAGATTTTTGTATTTCTTACTTTATTCAATCCATATTTTGTATTTTTTATGTAAGAATGCAAACGAACTGGCGGTTCACCTGATATTAAGTGATAACTACCGCCCATAGACATTTGCAACACCCGATGGTTGCAGACGCGTTGCCACCATTCAATTAAATGATCTCCGACTACCCCACTCACCAGACACAAAGCCGAGGTTATACAGCGTGTCGTTACCATCGCGACAATAAATGTACACACGTCTAACACTACTTGCCAATAATCATAAAAAAATATTAACGTTAAACAAAATCCATAATTAAAAAAAAATATTTTTCAAACAAACTAATCAAGTAAAAAAGAAACAAAATTTGTAACACCTATACAACCCGCGCCACAGCGTCGCATTACAAGCCTCTCCTTCTAACAGTATGTTTTGTCTCTTTTAAATTCATTCAACCTATTCATTTGCTTTGTGACCTTTACAAATGAACTTTACGTTACAGTTTTATACGTAAGGGTGTTCTAAAATTGTTTGTTTTAGAAAATTTAATAACTCTGTAAATATTGATGTTTGAAGAATGTAAATGTTCAATACTATTTTAAAATTTGTCCTCTATATGTGTGTTCATTTATTGTCGCGTTGATAACGACACGCTGTATAACACTTCCACTTCAAACCAGAATTCGGTAAGATTTTGGCACTTTCCCTGATGGTCCTGCTAATTTGTGCAACAGGGAAAACTGATGAGTGGCCCAACAAAGTAAAGTAATATAGGTGTGCAGTATCTTTAAAATTATATTTCATACTGCAAACGTATAATGAAGTTTTTTTAACCGGTTAAGTGGTTTTGATAACTTCCATGATATGATAATTTCGTGTATTTACGTTAATTACAAGATTGATTAATTTTAATCCCCGTCGTTTCGAACCCTATACAGCGTTCATGGTCACAGGACGGACTGACCCGTGACCGTGAACGCTGAATTAAAAAAATAAACGTTTCATTTATAAGTTCCATATCCGTAAAATTATTTTCATTTATAAGTTCCATGACATTTGAATTTATTTTTTGCATGGAATTCAAGTTTTAGCCACAGTACCAAATTTATTAATTGCTACAAGATTTTTCCAATAGTGCAATCTATGAACGAGTTTCCCATTGTTTCATTTTATAATAAAATAAAACTAAAACCTTTATTTCGGTATTTTACGAGAGCTGATTTACTAAAAAGGTATGAAGCAATTACCTCTGCGTAACGCTGCGCTAAACTAGACACGGTCTCGTCGGGTCGCTCAAGCCCAGGTTGTAAGACGATCGCCGGAACCTTTAACCGTTCGCACAAATTACGGAACCGTTCATAATGCCCCTCTAAGCCCGGAATCAGACATAAATACGTCTGCGTTACGTCAAATTCATCGTCCCGCTGAAAGGAATTATTAGGTCGTCAAAATTCAGTGTTAAGGTCATCAACAAAGTAACGGAGTTAATCGAACATTTCGACATATTAATAATTATCATGAACGTACCATAGTTGAGTTGCTTACTATGGTTGGCAAAAATACCATCTCAGTAGTAACGAGAAGTTCATCGGGGTCAACATATGAATAAAATGTTGCCAAACCTTTTGTATTCGAAAAGCCCGTGTCTGTCATATTTTCATGCATTTCCCTAATTCTAAAAAAGACAAAAGGAATTATTTACTTAATTATTATTCTATTCGCCACTTAACTAGCTATTATAAAGGAATAAACAAACCTTTGAATTGTCAAGTCTGGTATGTCTTTTTCTGATAAACATATGTTGTAGTAGTTCCTAAGATAGGAATAAATAATTTGTGACTCATCTGAGCCAATTTGCAATTCAGATAATGAAACTGTTTCATTAATCTCGTGAGGTATTTTGATTCCTAAAATTTATAATTAAAAGTACAGTCGATTAAAAGATATTGTTATAAGATTGAATAACTTTACAAAGTGATCCAAAAAGTCTCACCAGCCACCATCGCGATATCTTCCAAAAGCGATCGAGATTTCTCTGAATGCTCATAAGCCAATAACACGGGCTCGTTAGTTGTTAAAGCATATTCAAATGAATCGATTGTATATTCTTTGAAAATTGTTTTTTCACACTTCTCGATTTTACCGCTATCCACCTAAAAAGCGTTTTTTTTTTCATCATTGATATTCTAAATAATGAGAAGTTAATAGTTCAATCAGTAAAGGCTGGTTAAACGCCATTAATAGAATTTGGATCGAAAAAAGTAAAATTTTCTTTTTAGTAAATCGATTTTTTTTTTGTATCTTTGAGTTGTTCTGAATAGTTGACTATGTTATATTTTACCATCAAATGGCTAATCAGTCAAGTAAATGCCAGAAAGTTTATTAATTGACATGTGTGGCCCTGATCTTATGTTGCAGACATCCAAATATTAGAAATTTTATAATTATCAATTCAGTAAGAGCCGTAATAACTCAGTGTTCGGGCGCTCGCCTTTAATTCAATATACTCGAGCAACCTGAGTTCGATCCCCGGTGCTGGCACCAGTAAAGTTTTTAACTTTAAGTGTTGACTTATCACGTGCTCCGCGGTGAAGAGAGAAAACATCGTGAGGAAACCTGCATATTTTTGAAATATTAACAAAAAATATATATATTTTGAAGATATATGAAGTCCGCCAATCCGCAGTGGGGCCGCATGGTGGACTATGGTGGATTATACCCTCTGTATAGTGGAGGCCTTTGCCCAGCAGTGGGGCATGTATAGGATGGTACTTTACTTTATTTTTTATTAATTTCAGTCATTCAATCATCATCATGGATTTATTATCAAACTTGATTATACCTGCGATATGATGCGGATAGTAAAGAATATACTACTATATCTATAAAAACAAATCATTAAAATTTGTTTTTATAGATATGGTTTGTAATAGTTATGTGCCTGCTATTAATAAATGGATTAGTAAAATTAAAAAAAATTACAGATACATCTGTCACGTGTTACAACTAAATAGCTTATTTGTACATAATTTAAATTTAAAATTATAAAAGAAATACCGTATTAATTGTTGGTAATTTTAGTAATGTCACAGGGAGTTTATCTTGAGCTCTCGTTATACAAGTTTGTAAACCATTATTCGAGTTACCGTTGACCAGACAAAAATATCTGGAACAAAAAATAATCTTTAACAATTAAAAAGTTAGATGAAAGTAATTCCTTACTTTTTGTAATTACTTACTTCAGGTTTGGACAATTTTTTCTTGTGACGGAGTCCAACTCTTGTAGTACATTAAGACCATACAAAGACTGATCATCTTTCGAGACTATATAAACGCCTTTTACTTTTCCTAATCTAGCGCAGTCATTAATCAAAGTCTTGACGTCATTTTTACAATTTAATGCTTCATTACAAATCTTTACTTGAACGCCGAGTTTTTCTAATGTCCTTTAAGTAAAAAATTAAAATGATCAAATCAAAAATCAAAATCAAATGTATTTATTCAACATAGGAGCATTACACTCACTTATTGATAGTCAAAACACTACTACCGGTTCGGAAAAGAAAGCCACTGTACGGAGAAGAACCGGCGAAAGAAACTCAGCGGGCTTTTTTTTTTTAAATAAGCAGTTTGAGCGTTAAAATACAATATAAGAACTCCGATTGAAAGAGCCTGGAGCGATCAGTTCATTACCAGAGTGTGTTATCATTTAAATAATCATTAATATTATAGTAGCCTTTAACACACAAACGTTCTTCTACTATTTTTTTAAATTTAGCTATTGATGCATTTTGAACGTTTTCTGGAATTTTGTTGTAATAACGTATACATTTTCCCATAAAAGATTTACTTATTTTACGGAGTCTAGTTGTGGGTAGGATCAATTTATTTTTGTTCCTAGTATTTATATCATGAACATTATTATGTCTTAAAAATTTTTCCTTATTTTTATGGACATACAAAACATTTTCAAAAAATGTATTGAGCAGCAACAGTCAATACCTTTATCTCTTTAAACAAGTTTCTTAAAGATTCTTTGGGGCCCAGATTGTAAACTGCACGAATAGCTCTCTTTTGTAAGATAAAGATTGTATTAATGTCGGCCGCGTTACCCCAAAGCAGAATGCCATAAGACATTATACTGTGAAAATAACTAAAATATACCAAGCGAGCCGTATCAACATCAGTTAACTGTCTTATTTTTTTGACCGCGAAAACTGCTGAGCTAAGTCGCCAGTCTATTAATATGGGGGCCCGATTGCAGTTTGGCATCAATAGTTATGCCAAGGAATACAGTTGAGTCAATAGGGTCCAACGCTTCCCCATATAAAAGTACATCAGTTTTTACATGATCAAACTAAGCTTTATAAAAATACATAATATTAATTGATGGCTCCGTGGTACAGTTGCCAACGTGAAATTTATGTATGTGAAACGACCTTACAACATGATGTAATCCCACAGTAACGGCAGCATTTTTTTTAAATGAAGATAAATAAAAATTAATTACATAAAGAGCTGATCTATACCTGACTTCAAACTCAAGTAATGCAGATTGTTTCAAGCCATGCAGGTAAATTTTTTTGGCACCACGTTTTACTAGTCTTTCCGCGATTCGGAAGCCGAAATAGTCTTGGTTGCATAATATAAGGTGGCTTAAGTTTGATTCCAAATGCAACCTGAAAATAATAATTTAAAAGACACAAGCAATAGATTTCAAATAAAGGTGAGAAATAACTAAATGATTAACGGTCTACCTGGGTTCCGGTTGTGGAACAGGTCTGTCTTGATTGTCTGACCTGAGCTGAAGCAGGGCACGACCGCGGTGTCGGCTCGCAGCCAATAGACGAAATGCGCGTGGTGCATCGAGTGGAGAATAGACTACTCGCGATAGCGGCCGCACGTATCCACGCTTGATACCCTCAGACATCATCAGTTGCAGTTGCTATATCAGTAGTAAATTTTTATAGCAAACCAGTGATCTGTTGCTCCAATTTCTATCAATATATGAGCGAAAGACTTCAATAAATATACTTATAGTTGTTTGCATTGTTTTGTAGTATACCGTATTCTTCAATTATAAGTTAAGGAATCCTTTAATATTTGATTTTAACTCCCATCTCATTTACTAAAGTAACATGTACACATAACGCTTTCTAGGACCTGATTATCAGTGCAATGGTAACCGAACATTATGTTTAATTATTATTTACTCACGATTTTTATGAGGCAAAACAGAAAAAGAAACAACAATCAACTAACCCTTATTTCATTAACATTTCCTTGTGTTAACAATCGCAAAAAGTCTATGGTTGTGTAACATCTGTCTTTATTAAGGTTGTACATTCCGAATGAATAGTTGTCTCTCGTTGCAATTTGAACTAGGTCTAACGTAATGCCTGACAGTTTCACACATTTCATGGATGCCTGAGAAAGAGATCTTGTGGTTAGATGTGCTATTTATAGATAACATTTATTATAAAATAGTATAAAATTTCCGTAATAAATATAACTTACATTTGTTAGATTATCTTTAACACAACTTATTACTATGTCGCAACCATTTCCATTTGTAGTGGTTAATATTAAATCGCCAAAAGTGTGATCACGAGAATTTCCGATATCATCATCTACAAAGGCATCAAAAATTAATACAAAAGAGTTATAAACTATTCCGTTATTATTAGTTATTAAACGTAGTTATTAACTATGTTTAATTTTGTTTTCATTTCAAGATTTCAAGATCATTTCTCGAGATAATTAATATCCGGATTTTTTAAATGTTCGTTATATTACAATGTGTTAGAATCGTACCTTTAAGTTCGGAGAACATTTTGCGCAGGAAACGTTTTTTACTAACGTCACTTACAGTAGTAAAGACCCTGCAACCATTTCTTAGGGCAATCGATATTACAGCTTGACCTATAGCTCCCGCGCCGCCGTGTACAAGTATGCTCATACCAGGGTAAAGCCTATATTTTATACACTGGAAAAAGGCATGACCATGTACCATTCAGAAGTAATAAAATTATGGGCTACAATTTATGTTAGGAATACAAGGAATAGTAATGGCCCCTTTACACTACACCGGCGGGTGTTTGCCACCTGGATATGCTACCGGCATAATTAGGCCGCCGGCACTTGCCGCAGAGCAATATCATTTCAATTCCGACAGCCGGGAAGAAGGCTTGTGGTGTACACTTTATGTTCCTAGTTTTTATCGATGGTAAAACGAAGCCAACTCTACCACTTCAATGTTCCGACCGAAGAACTGATGCTGGTTCCCCGTACAACCTGCGGACTTACTCCTCGTTTATGCGAAAAGCCCGACGGCTTAAATACCAGTCGAGAATGCCGCCGGGTTTGTTGGTGGCATATCCGCCGGCCGAGCCGCCGGCATAGTATATAGGATCCGTAACAGATCGATGTTATAAGTCCTCCTCACTATGTTATTTCCTTATTTTTTGACTTACGAGGCAGTAAAACGCAACACAGTAAGCTAAGGGGACAGTCGCAGCTTCTTCGAGGGTCCAATGTTTCGGAACCGGCCAGAGCAGTTCAGGTGATGCAAGAACATGAGAGCTTGCCGCACCGCTGCTAACTAAGCCCATCACACGCTCCCCACTAAGAAGAAAAAGCATAAAATAAGATTGTTTCGATTTATAATACCTTTGAATTCGTAAATACCATATCTCTACATACATAAAAAAAACTTTTTGAAACTCTTGTACGTATTTTTTCCGTTCTAATTTGATTTTAATTTTCCGACACTTCTAACCCTTTCCATCTTTCCTGGCCACGGGACATACTTCTACTTATTAACATTAAAAGAGGTAGATACATAATGAACCATGCAGATTTATTTTATTTATTTATTTAATCTTTATTGCCAACCTTCAGTAAAACAAGGTAACAAAGGGCGGACTTAATGCCCAAAGGCATTCTCTACCAGTCAACCCAGGATGTGGTGAGAGTTTATGGTAGGTGCAGCAAAAGATGCAAGAATAATAAAATTTTAATTAAAGAGAATATATATGAAAATAATATTATAATTGGATACAAATCATATATTAAGTTATATACATGCATATGTATATATACATATATGTATACATATATATATATATATATATTCAAATATTTAAATATATATAAAGATGTATACTTGTATAAATAAATAACAATATAGCTTCTACTTTTAACTACAGTCCATATCTTAGGTCGAATTTGTCTTTAACAGGTGTTCACGAACCAATATTTTGAAAGATGTCTTACTTTTTGCGTTTCTTACGTTATCGGGCAAGGAGTTCCAAAGATGTATAGCTTGGATAGTAAAGGAGTTGACAGAGAACCCGGTAAAGTGCGCTGGAATGCATAATTTATTCGTGTAAGACGACCGAAGTACCCTATCATGAGATGAGGAGAGATATAAGAATTTGTTTTTGAGGTAAGAAGGGGAGGAACAATCATTTAAAATGGAGAAAAGCACAAGCAAAATTCTGGACTGCCGCCTTTGCCGAATAGTAAGCCAATTAAGTTGAGATCGATAGGAGGATATGTGGTCATACTTGCGTAAGCCGAAATGAACCTCATACAGTTATTAAGGAGGCGATCCAACTTGTTTAGTAGATGTTGGGATACGTCCGGGTAACACACATCTGCATAATCGATAATGGGTAAAATGAGCGTTTGGACAAGCAAAAGTTTAGTTTTGAAAGGGAGGAAATGTTTTAAGCGATAAAGAGATCGTAAGGTGGCAGTAACTTTGCGGCTTATTTCGGTAACGTATACACTCCAATTCAAAGTATTGTCAATAAGCAGACCTAGATTTTTTACCACGTTTGAAAAAGGAATTATTATATTATTGTATTTTATAGGAGGTACAGACGAGTAATCAATTTTTGACAGCATTCTTGAACTACCAACAACTATAGCTTGGCATTTCGAGGGATTGACCGAAACTCCATGAGAACTTGACCAACTCCAAACTTTGTCTAGGTTTTCGTTTAATTTTACTATCGCAACATGAAGGTCGTCTATATCGGCTTGCACATAAAGCTGAAGATCGTCAGCATACAAATGATACGAACAGTTCAAAAAAGCAGTAAGAAAGTTAATAAAAATAGAGAAGATTATGGGAGACAGTATGCCGCCTTGTGGCACGCCAGATTCAACATCAGCCCAAGCTGAGCTTTTTTGCCCCAAGGTAACTGACTGCTGACGCCTACGAAGATAAGATGAAAACAATTCTACAACAGAGTCTGCAAAATTAATATGGGAGAGCATGGAAAGGAGTATATCATGGTCGACTGTGTTAAAAGCGTTTGAAAAGTCCACAAGCACTAACACATTTACCTTTTTATTTTCCATGCCTTGTCTAATGTCGTCGGTAACTTTGATTAAGGCTGTGGTAGTGCTGTGGCCAGAACGAAAACCAGACTGATAGATACTCAGTAGGTTATGTTTATTTAAAAATAAGGAGATTTGCTTGTGAACACAGGCTTCCAGAATTTTTGACAAGGGCAGAATTGATATTGGACGGAAATGGTTCGGTTGCGTAGGATTAGGAACTTTAGGAAGAGGTCGGACATAGGCTTTCTTCCAGCAAGTAGGATATTGACCGGAATCAAGGGAATAGTTAATAATATGGGTGATTGCTGGAAGAAGATGCTCTAATAGTGAGACTATCATAAACCTGCTGATATCATCACAGCCCATAGCCTTAGATTTAGGGAAAAGAAAGCATAGGAATGAATTTCACTTTACCGCTCAGTTACACCACTAAAGTCCATTCCGAAGCTATTTTGGCCAGCGTCCGGTGGAATGATTCCGTTACACCTTTTAACATCTATGTCATTTATTCCAGCATAATGTACCTTAAATACAATATATGTTTCTCATTTCAATACATGCATAAAACCAAACCAATCAGGTATATGTAAATAGGATTAACAGGTAGGTAACATACAGTTACTTTTATGCCTGGACCGACAATTTTGGGTATTTCGACCCAGTGCAGAGAGTTGCAATCGCCGACGCGGGAACATTGTAACGACATATCAGATACTTTAGGTGGCTTTTGTCTGAAAGGTACAAAGAACCAACCGCCCCATTGCCCCTGAAATTGTGAAAAAAAAATAATTTTTTTTAACTTCGAAGTGTATGTCACTGAATCATCATAAAGTCATTGTTGACTTACGTTATTAAGTACGTTAAATGCTAAGTCGTTATTCGGCAATCCTTCCGCATTTCGGTCTTCGTCAATTTGATGGTTCATAACAACCACGTGAATAAGACGATCCTTTCTCCATTTCTGCACGAGCGCTTTAAGCCGATCAATGGTAGGGTGTGACGTGATAATGAGAAGCCTATGTTGTTGTGGTAGTGTTGTAAGCGTAGAAGATAGTAAATCCAAATCAGAAGATGAGCGCACTGTAAAGGCGGTTGTAGCAGCTGAAGCAGTCGTCGGTCTCCAGTGCACAAGTTCAATAGAATGGCCTTTTATATATTGTGCGCTTAGAACATGGTAGAGTGTTGATGGTCTATTCAATGTTGAATCCTTCGAGCAATTCTCTTTGTTTATAAGGAACGTGTTATTACACAGCATGTGATGCAATGTTTGACATAGCTAAAAATTAAAAGATTCCATTTAAAATTAACCTTTATTTTCGAGACTATAGAATCAAAACAAATTTATACCTTATCATCAGCTGAAAGATTTTCAACTAACAGTAAATCAAAATTCGCTGAAAGCTGTACTTTTTTTTCTAACAATATGTTTCTACAAAGAACATCATGATGAACTTTAATATTGGCTATTTTGGTAAAACTTTCAACAACGTCTTTGAAATTTGACACTTCATCCTCATTATCAGATAACTGTAATATGTTAATTGTCGTTTTATTCACGTTTTCAGCCACTATTTGCAAATAGACAAAAAGAGCTGTTGCAATCTGAAACAATTGAAAAAAAATATCATCCCGCGATAATTAATTTAATCATAACATTTGATTTTTCTTATTAAATACTTACATCCGAATCAGACTGTTGGAAGAATGGAATGAAATGTAAAGACATCAAATCTTTTTTCTTGTTGAATGTTGGAAGATCACGGAATTTAACATCCTCTATTGCGACACCTCCGCACCTAAAGTAAATTTTTATTTCTTAACTTAATTTTATGATTTTAATTTAATAATATCATATAATTTTCTTAAAGTTATGTTCTTGTTTTATAATGATTTCTTGTATATTTTTTATGTGAAAAGTTATCAAGTAAGCAGGAGGACCGCCGGATGTTAAGAAGGTACCACCGCCCTTGGACATTTACAGCATCTGAGGGGCTTGCAGTTGCGTTGACAACCTTCAAACGGGGACCTTGGGTATATCACTCACCAGATCAGGCGACATTATAATAACTTCCAATTAATGCCAGTTTACCGTGGGGACGTGGTGCTTCCGCGGACGAGTCGGCCCACGATTACACCTAATTATCTATACAGACGATGCCTCGATGCTACTATCGGCAACGAAGTCGTTGACTTAGAGTAACAATTTCCATATAAATTACCGATATCAGGGTTTGTTGATTCTACATGGCTCATTAGATTAAATAATTTTAAAACATCTTTCTTTCGACTCCGTCTTAGTGAAGCAAACATTTACTCCTTAACGTAAGTCCGTGTTAGGACTTTTTAACATCACAATGCAACTTGGTTTGCTTTTATCGTTTTTATAGTATTCTGTTCTGTTACTGACATTTGTCATTGCTTAATATTTAATAATTTTGATAAATATTACTTTATCACTTGTTAATTAATGTTAACATAACTCTATATAAAAGTTCATAAGTTGAAGATGTGGTCTCAGTAGTCCATGTTTGAAACTCTTAGATTATTTTACTTAACCGTAGTATGAACTAACCTAATTAAATTGTTGGTTTTGATAACATTAGCCTTCATGACAATATTTTCATCTATCGGTATGGTTTCGACTTCGTTATGCTTTATTACATCAATAATCATCCTCTTTGTATAAATAGGATCTGATACAGTGTCATGTGGATGCCTTAGAGCACTGAGCTGTAGCATGCCATCGATGAAAGTCACCCAGTTATTGCGCCAAAATATCTGTGCTTCGGTTATGCATTTGCTAATGCTGTGTATACTTCGGAACTCACCACTGAAATATAGGACAGTTAAGTATAATATATTTATGAACTTGGTCACTTGCAACCAGATTTATTTAGTTGATGACTCTGTTGTGGGTTCGATTCCCATACGGGACAAATATTTCTATGTACAGATAATTATTCCGGATTTGGCTAGTTGTTCTCAAGAAGGTTTGATGGCAGGCAGGCAGCCGGTTGTAAAAAAAACCTAATAATAACAACATGATTCATATTTTGTGCCAACCCTGAATGATTCAGCACAAGGTGAGTCAGCACAACATATCCTTTCCCTCCACTTTCCTCTATCAGCCGTCATTTAGCCCTTCACAGAAAAACCTTCTTTCACAAAGTCCTTTCAAATATTTTCCCAAACCGAAGTAATTACAATTTTCTTTTACTTGTCACAAATGAATATAGTAAGTCCAATATTTTGTAATGGCTAATTTAATTAAGTTTCCCACCTGTAGGAGTAACCTCTCTTGGACAGTAATTGATATGTATCTTGAGAATTTAATTCCAACTCCTCAGGCAATGTAGATTCCATTGCGAATGCTTTAGTATCAACAACTTCCCCATTAATCCGACCTATAGCAACCTTGGTATTTTCGTCCATTATCTGGAAGCAACAACTGAACAATTAAAATATTAAAATACATTACAAAAATTTAATCTGCCACATTTGTTGTAACGGCGACATCTCTCGTTACGAATATTCATCGTTAAATGTTATTTGTAAGGAGTTGCTAAAATGTAAGGCATTGCTAAAAATACATAGAAATAGATGAATCGCTCGTGTTATATTTGTTCCATCTTGATCTTGTAAATATATACTCTTTTTAAACAACAAAGAAATTCGCAAATAAATTTTTATGATGTGATGAGTGTGCGGCAGCCACCTATGCATATACAAGTCGTAAGAATATACCTCAAAAAGTCCAGTTCCTCTGTGGAGTGAGACAAAAAGACGTAACAAACGCAAATCGTGCAAAACAGGCTGGCAGTAAAACTTCACATCATGAAATTCAACTGATAAGCTCTTCTTGGGTACACCAACTGTCATCGCAAGGACGTCCCAAGCGGCAACTAATGCAGCGGCAAGCGGGAAAGTATTTTTTCCTAAAACAAAACTTGTATTGAATGAAACGGCGTCTAAACTTGTCGTAGGTGCTTTTCAGATATCATATAGTTTTGTTATTCTTGCATATGTATTCAAAATACTGTTAAGTATTCATGGCAGACTATGTAGAGGGTTTATATTTTGCAGTGGATTAATTTAGGCATTAATGTAATGGTAGACGTGAAATGTCAATCGTATTTAAAGGCCCACTTTATTAAAATGGGGCAACGCGTCTGCACTCCTACGGGTATTGCTATTGCCAGTATCGTTATCACCGCAAACTCGCTTGCCACCTTCTTACATAAAAAAAATACTTAATCTGAATAATTTCTATATTATTTTATTTTATAAATCTTAAAGCTTTTTGTATGTGTTACTAAAAATATGGCATGTGCAACTCTTATCTGGTAAAGTGAAAATAGCTTTGTGAATATACATTTACCATAAAAATTTACAGAAGCTACATACCATTTATGACGTGCCCGGTCAAGTATTCATTTTCCACATCATGAATCGAGTATACGAATTTACAGGAAGCTGCAATCTTCCTGTGCGCTGATACATACAACGGCAAACTCCTGTACAAAAATATTATTATTAACAAATTATAAGGCTCTATATTGACAAATAATTGTAGAAAAAAACGTACCATTTCTCACTATGAGCCCACTCAACCAAGTGGGATAAGAATGGAGTTCCAGTAGAAACGGGAAATTCAATTTTCGGATAAAGCACTTGCACTTTAAGATTGTACCCTTCCATGTATAGCCTGAAATACGTACAGTTATTCATTAAATAAATTGTGATTTTGTTTAAAGATATGTTATGGATCATGTTTACGTTTATTGTTTCACGGTGGTAGGGCCAGGGAACAGTGTTCGCTGTTGCACGAATAGGCAGGTCCGTCCGGGCTAATATCACGACCTCACAGAATACCGGCGTAAAGTGGAAGTGTTGCACTTCTGCGTTTCTTCTGGTGAGTGAGGTAGCCGGGGCCCACATTATTATGAGGTGGCAACGCATCTGCAACCCTACGGGTGTTGCAAATGTCCATGGGCAGGCTATTATCACTTAACATCAGGTGAAGCGCTAACTCGTTTGCCACTTTCTCACATAAAAAAAAAAATTACTAATCAATATTGAAAAGACAAAAATAAAACTGGCAGAATACAAAAAATCTAGACTCCACTATCCATTTTGATCTCTTTATCTCCTAGTATTCTTACAAACAAAATAAAATTGGAGTTTGTAAGTTTTGTGAAACGCTTGATCAGAACGATGTTGCTCACTTCCCAATGGCTTCCAGAAAATATTGAACATTATCGGGATGACCACGACGTGTGAGAGGCACGTGGCGACATGATTCAGGAAGCGAACGTTTTAAAATAGCTTGTAGTAAGCCGTGAGGCGCCACTTCCACTAACACAGCGTTGGCTGGAATAAGCCGCGAGGTCTCTTCAAACAGCACGGCACTCTGAAAATTGTTTAGTAGGTGACACCGACATGACCTCATAATCGTACAATTCATTTATTTTCACAGGTTGATTTCAACAACAATAATAAACTCAACGTTAATTGTATTAAGTCGTTAAATTAAAGTAAAGAAAAAGCCTATATATGTCCCACTGGTAGATAAAGACCTTCTCAGTACAGAAGGATTAGGGTTTAGTCCACCACACGGCCACACTGCGGATTGGCAGACTTCGCATATCTTCGGAACATTTTTAGTTGTTATTTCTAAAATATGCAGGTTTCCTCACAATGTTTTCTTTCACCGCTGACCGCTGAGCACGGGATAATTTACCACTTGAAATTAACTATTTAATTGGTACCGGCACCGGGAATCGAAATCAGGTAGAGTATATTGATTTAAAAGCGAGCGGACAATGAGCTATCACAGGATTTTTAAACAAATAGTTTCCTTCTTTACTAATTTTATCTTCAGAAAGGAATTAGTATAGTAAAAATCATGAAACCTTCAGATTATTATTAGACGACAACGTACAAATAGTTTCAATATGTTTTTTTATTCAATATACAATATACTTACGAGTAGATTATTTGTGTGATATTCGGCCGACGAATATTTCGCTATAGGCTCATTCCATCGGTCTTGCGGGACCGAAGTTGAGAGCCATCGCTTACTACGAAGTTTTGGAGTTTTAATGACTTTGCTTAAATGTTTTAAAAGTTCGGGACCTAAAATTCAAATAATGAAAAGCACGTAAAGCATATAACGAAATAAGTCATAAACGAAATACTTACAAGAAATTCCTGATGAACACTTACCCGCTTCAGCGATATACCGCGAGTGATATGCGATATTTGAACATGGGACCTCCTTAGCGAATATTCTCTTAGCAGTTAGTTCGGCGACAAAAGTCTTCATAATTTCTGCCGGACCAGAGATAGTGCTAGATTCTGGACCATTATGACATGCCACCACAATCTCAGGCGGACACATCTTTATTACCTTAAAAGACATAAAATATAATGTGAAGCCTGTTAAAACGTACAATTTATATTATGGAAAATACCACGATAAATCGCTCCTTTTGTTTAATGACTGGGTTTAATGTAGCAAAAAGGTAAAAAGGTTTGGTGAATCCAAAGATAATCTAATAAAGCAAGAATATTCGTTCCGTCGTTTCCTCAAATTATTTTGAGTGAATTTGTACCTGCTGATATCCAATTCCCACTGCAGCCATCGATCCACGAACAAACGGTGTTTGGACTGATACGAGCCCACGATAATATGCCGCTAGTATCATCTCTTCGGCCGTAAAACAACCGTCCGCGTACGCACACCCCAATTCACCCACACTGTGACCTGAAGAATAACCATGCTTAATTATTTACCAGTTTTTAAAGTTATGTTTTTTATATTATCAATATATTTTTTCGTCATCAAGTAGAGTCGAAACATAGACGTTCATGATAAATTGAAATACAATCCAGAGCTATCTGTAAGCATTGACTTCCCGCACCATTACACAGGTTGTCACACTTGATGGAGTGACGACAAAACCGTAAAAATCCGATGGCCTCTATTAGATCTCCAGATCCTAGATACTCAGACCAATGATGAACAGCAGCGTTAAAGGTGTGAGGTTTCTGGAAAAGATGCGGTTGCCAAGCTATTTTTATCAAGCTTAACCCAAATATCATTTGATCATTAGGGGGATACATGTTTGCAAGTTTAAAAACGGGCTTTTTATTGCAAGCTGGTCAAACACTTAAACAATCCAAGAGCATCCAACCAGTAAGATCTCTATCTTAAGTAAGGACTCTGTCCTGACTTTTAATTACAGTGTTAAATTGTGATAGGTAAAGAAATTGACAATTGAATGCAGCTTTACAGGAAAAAAAATGATTTGATTTATGCAACAATAATATATCAATAGTTACCAATAATATTATCGGGTTCGAGTCCTAGCTCTCGAAGGACATCAGTAAGTCCAATTTGTATGGCCGCTATTCCGACAAATGAGTTTAGGATGTTGTCGAATGTAGATTTATCCGTAGAAGTAATTATATCAACTATATCAACACCTTTAGGTTCTAATACTCGATGGCATCTGAAATGTAAAGTAACAGACATATTGTGAGTGTTAAAACAGTTTTTACCAGTTTTTAGACCGAAGTAATCAATAAGCTCTGTGTGATGAGATTATTTGGGAAATAGTCTATTAGAAAGCCATTTATTTTCATTTTAAATTTATGATGTGTATTAAAGGGTTATGCTTTTGGTGGTCGCCTTTCTAACTGCCACTAAGCATTACACTGCAGGTGCACCCAATACAAGTATTTGCACGCTTCATCAATAACTATTTCCCTTCGAGTCAGGGCGTTTTTCGTGTTCTTGACTTTAAGTTTTTGGATCCTACTAAGATACAGGAAACAAATGTGATACTTAAAAATACATTTCAGTACCGTTCGATAGCGGCTGCGAAGATTGGAATGCGCATGAGATGTGTGCCCATGCCGACCCATTGAGATCCCATACCACTGTACACGAACCATAGTGGTCGTTTCAAATTGTCAAAATATTCCGCCCTTTCGGACAGACTGACTGTCTGCTGTTGTTCGTTTGTTCCTAAATTAAAAAAAAATCTTATGTTATTAGATTAAACTATACAATATTGAAAAGTCTATTATGATCTATTTTTTTTTATATGTTTTATATGTATATTTGGTCTACAAATTAAGTCCCAAAATGTTAATAATTATTGGAGGAGGCAATACTGATGTCTTCAAACAGGCTTAATGAACAAGATTACCTTTTATTTTTGAAGTTATACTTGTTTTGGCGCGTTTGAAAAGAATTATAAGAGTAAAATTTTGACGATGCGTACTGCGTATTTTTACTTTTACACGTAAAACTTTGGAAGATGTTTTTTAATTTGTCTTTATTATAATTCACTGACCTAGAATAATAAATCCTCTCCCCAAATGTCCAGAGATTCTCGTCGAATGGATGTTGTGAAGTAAAGCGACTTCTTCGGGATCAATTGGACGAGATTTTAAGTTGTCCAAGACATTTTGAACCGAGAAATTCTGTCTAGCAGAAATTGCAACGAGATATGGTATATCAGATTTGTACCGAGAGTTATCCTGCAATGAAAAAATTGCAAATTATTATTATTACTTGTTTTAAAAACACTTAATTTTACAAAATAAAAACACTCTGTATTAAATATTTTGTTGTAATTCATCCGTAAGAGATTATGATACTTTCAGTAGTTGAAAAAAAAAAAAAAAAACGTTTTAAAGTTTATGGTGAAATACACCGGATAAGGATGATTAAGAAATAGCATTTTTAACATCATAATAATCATCATCACTATCAGTTCCGCCTATTAGAGTCCACTGCTGTTCATAGTCCTCCCCCACGGAGTGCTACGAAGCACCTTCCTGAACCATCTCATGAATCTTCCTGAACCGTCTTCTGAGATGGCCAGTACGAGGCCACTCGAGAACATTTCTTCCTCGACAGTTATCGGTTCTACGAGCTATATGCCCCCATCACACTTTCACCTTACTAGTCTTCTGGGCTATGTAGGGTTTTTGTTTTACAGCAGATGTCTTCGTTTCTCTCTCTCTCTCTCTCTCTCTCTCTCTTAACTCTATCACTAATTATTTTTAACAATGTGTACATACTGTACAAATATTGTCATATGTTTAATTGTGATGGCAACATAAATGTTATGCGTACAAACAGTGAAAGATGATTAAAAAAAATATTACCTTGGGCTTGTAATGTCCGTGCAGGAGAACATGAGCGTTCACTCCAGTAATAGTTAAGGCGTTAACAGCAGCGTATGTCCTACCGAAAGGCTCATTTTCAGTTAAAATACGGATGCGCCCGTCGCGTAACGCGGCAACATCACGCCTTGGATTTTCAAGGTTCAGGTTTGCAGCCAAAGCTCCCTTGTGGTAACCTAGAAGGACCTGAAATAAATAATATTTCATTATTAACAACTTATACCAACGAGCCACTTATGATATTTACCTCAGGTAGATAAAAATGTTCGACCAGCGTACTGTGAGTTATAAAACATATAAGTATATAATGCCATAGTAATGCCTACAGAAAATCAGCGCCGCAATTTTGCGCGGTATATGCTGAGACGAACCTTTCCGTCACTACATTAAAATTTATAAATACCTTATATTTTTGTTGTCTTTTCACTATTTTTTCAATTACTTTTATTTTTTTAATTCATTATTTTGTCGTTGTTTTTTTTTAAATTTTAATCACTGTAACTAAACGTAACATAATTGTGTACAGATGTATTAATGGATTAAATGTCTTATATCTAACACTACTCTTTGGCTTTATTACTTGTTATTTTAAAACTTTTTCATATACAAAGAATAAAATTATTTATTACTTTTGTCACTGCAGAAATTCCTGATGCAGCTTCGCCGTAACCAATATTAGACATGACACTACCAACAAGCAATTCATTGTTTCTATTCTTGCAGAAAACAGAATCAAGAGACTCCAGTTCAGCTTTATCGGCTTCAGGTATAGCTGAAAATATTAAAGATTACATGAGTGTGGTAACTATCGTGTATTTTGTTAGATACTTGATAAAATATGCTGCATTGTTTACATTATTCTCTAATAAAAGCTGGTAATTTTCATTGGTCTTCTTTGCAGAATAAACATTTATTAAAATAATAATAGTAAGATTCATGTCTTATGATATTGGTGAATTGCGTCAAAATGGAATGCAAAAATTATGAATGTAACAATGTTTACGGATTTATCGCATTTATTTTTAAATTTCATGATTCTAAATCTTTACACCCTTCATAGTAACCGGAGAGACAGAGGCGTTGGACATCCCAAAATCATTGTTAACCCGGGCTACCGCAAATTTTTTGTTATTATTTTTTTTGTCTGATCTACTTTTATTATTTTTTATACAATAATAGTAACTCGAACTTTTACTTATAATTTTTCTGTAAGTGTGTATGTCCCTGTACTCCTCCTAAACGACTGGACCGATCTTAATGAAATTTTTTGTACGTCTTTCAGTCGATTCGAGAATGTTCCACAATTTTTTTGAAGTTATACTTGTTTTGTCGCGTTAGAGAAAAATGATGAGAGTAATTTTTTACGATGCGCTAGCACACCCTCAGTTTTTTTATGTGAAAAGTTGCCAAACGAGCAGACGGTTCACCTGATGTTAAGTGAATACCACCGCCAACGGACATCTGCTACACCCGAGGGTTACAGATGCGTTGACAACCTTTTGAAAATTGGGTTCCAGCTACCTCACTCACCAGACGAAACGCGAAAGTATTTGTCATACTTTACGCTAGTCTTTTGTGAGGTATTGGCTATTTAGCCGAGGCTGCTGCGTGACTCTACCACCGTTAAAGGTGTCATGGATTTAATAAAAAACCGGCCAAGTGTGAGTCGGACTCGCGCATAAAGAGTTCCGTACTTTATCTATTAAAACTGCAAAAATTTGCCTGTTGTATGTGAGCCCCACTTAAATATTTTTTTATTCTGTTTTTTACTATTTTTTGTTATAGCGGCAACAGAAATACACCATCTTTGAAAATTACAACTGTCTAACTATCGCAGTCTATGAGATAAGGCTTGGTGACAGACGGACGGACAGACAGCGGAGTCCTAGTTGTTACTAGAACTCCGCTGCCTGTCAGTCTTTCCCGTTCCCGTTTTACGCTTTGGGTACGGAAACCTATAAACGTAATAAATTATATATGCAATACGCAAATACGCAATAATGCCGTTAACATAATTTCATTTAGTAATTTAAGATATCGTCAAGGCAACATATATAAAAATATAATAACATATATAAAAATATAAGATTTTTTGATATTGTCAAGGTAATAGAATTTAATTTATATATTACCTGATCCGAATGCCTCTACATACTCAACAGCTTGAGGTGGAACTTTTGCTTCTTGGTAAAAATTGTTCAGGAATTCAGCCGTACGTGCTGGATCACGGTAGAACCCGAACTTGGGTCCAGTTTTATCTTCATGAAGATGAGTAAACTGACTTTTCACTAGAATGACATCGGCGTAGATTCTAAAATCATATTATAATCAATAAGGCGGTTGTAGCATATGAAGTACACGTGTTAATTCACATAACGAATCAATCGAAATCAATTAAATTTCAATAGCTTAACGAGATAGTCGTTTGGCCTATAGCAATGTTTTTATACTCGTAAGAAGCTGAGTATTACAAAGACAACATTGTATGCAATTTCGAAACAAGAACTATTTACAGGTTTTATGTTAACTGTTTATTGTTAGAGCCTTACCTTAGAGCATCTTTAGCTTTTTGGAGGAAAAGGACATTAATTGCTTCAGATTTCGCACACCCAGATGCATTTTCATCAAATGATCTCGTCTTACCGTCCATGCTTATGGACATGATTCTGCAAAGTAGAAGGCATGATATAATTAACTTATGGTCACTTAAAAATGAGTTGGAGATCCAAGTAGATACTCGTGATGATTGGTATTGTGTTGAAAACAGAAAATACCTGCTGTAATGTACGGATGACTGTGGGTGCAAGCAAACGTTGCCGCCGCCAACAATTGCCGCTTCGCAATCACCGCGACTTAGCGCCAAATAGGCTTGCTCAAGGGCCGCTATGGAGCTGCAGCAGGATTCGTCGATGGACATCGAGGGTCCCTTGGCGTTTAACCAGTAGGAAATGCGATTCGCGAACATCGATTTGTTGCATCTGAAATAAGTCTATGTAGTTAGTGCTGTGTTACACAATAGGCTAGACGATGTGATACTCATATCGTCGGTATTTCGAATATTTTTTTTTGTGATTTATGATACCACTTACCCAGCTACGCCGAACCCAGTTCTGGTACTGGCGCCATAAAAGGAAACCTTTTCGCTTTCAGAGAAGCAAGTGCCAATGTAAACTCCAACTTTTTTCCCAGAGAGGTGCTCTGGACTTACACCTGATGATAAGTCAATGATCGATGAACTCGAAAATTTATTAATGGTTTGGTTAACACCAATGCGTTTTTGTTTCGAGATAAATCTGCACCATGGGAATATCTGAGCATGCAGTAGGAATTACATTTTACAGAAAGCAATTAAAAGAAAACTAATGTTACTGCGCACCTGAGTCATAGATTGCTTGATATGCCTGCTCTAGGATTTTGCGTGACATTGCGTCCATGGTGTGTCCAAGCCGATAGTGCACCTTGAAGAACTGGGCGTCGAAGTACTCTAGATTGGGTACCTTGCCAGTGTGTTGCGACACTTCCGGATGATTATATCTCCAGCGTGGTTTCGATGAAATTGGATTTTTCTGCGCAAACGATTTTGAATGGTGATTAAATTGCTGTACAGAACTTGGTCAATGAACTCGTCTTATTTATTTAGATTTGATAATTAAATGAGAACTGTTACATACACGCATACGTATATAATTATATTCTACCATTTAATCCTGGTTTTAGTCTAATAAAAGTATTTTTTTTCTATAATAATTTCTTTTTTTCTGTTACTACCTTCGTAATAAAAGAAATTTGAATTATTCATATAACTGAAACATCAATGGGCAATCGAAAAAAATGTTTTAAAAATTTAATTTACATAAAGTGATTCAATTCACAGAATTTTTCATAATTATTGTGAATTTATGCATATACACATTCCGTCATTTACCTTATTGTACAGTATATCCGCTAGATCCTGGACGTGTCGAGAATCAGGAAAGAGCCCGGACATGCCTGAGATGACAACCCTTTCGCCAGATTTGTTATCTCCTTCCATTTCTGCATAGGCTTTCTCTTGAGGTTTCGGTACCATATTGTTCTGGAATAATCTTGGTTTACTTCGAGTACGTAATAATTTCCTTAATTAGCGTGCAGCAAGATAGAGAGGAACTATGATTTTTTTTAATTACTGAGAAGCCAATTATAGTCTAATTCGAAAGTCAGAAGTCTTTCGTAAAGAAGAATTTTACCCGGCCAGGGAGGATGACGATATCGTTATATCGTCATCCTCCTGCACTTATTCTACCAAAGTGATGTAGGGACAACATGTGAATCATGGTATTAGCAGTTACAGGCTACGTATTTATGACCGGCCGCCTGCCGGACGTCAACCCTCCTTGGGAAACAAGCGCCCAGAGCCGGAACAGTTTCACACAAATACCTGTCCCGTAAGGGAATCGAACCTACAACCCCCGATATCGAAGCCAATAGCAACGACGCCACCGAATCATCAAATAACAAACAATATCCTTACTGCCTTACTAATATTATAAACGCGAAGGTTTGTATGTATGGATGGATGTTTGTTACTCTTTCACGCAAATACTACTGAATGAATTCTAATGAAACTTTACAATAACATAGGTTATACATCACAATAAGACATGGGCTATAATTTATATACATATTTAATGTATATTTGTCTTTCTGTCTGAATTTACGCCTTCAGCGTATTCTACGCAGACGTAGTTGCGGGCAGCAGCTAGTATTTATTAAATAAAAAAATAAGTGCACGTAACCTTTACATGTGAAGTAAAACTCAACAAAAATCTTTCAAATAATCAATAATTTAACTTGAATAATTTAATTTCTTATTAATGTAAAATAATGTAAATTAATGAAAAATAAATGATTAATATTTTTTTATTTTAAATGATATTCATAGTTCAGATACATACATACATACAGCGTAAATATTTAAAAATCAGATGCTCTACAAACGCGTCTTCGCTGTTACGAATTTTCGTTGCATTGTCGTCGTCCGAAAGAAGTTTTACATAAAAAAAATTATTTGTTTGTATCCACCGTAAATGGCAAAAATCCGACCCAAATTTAATATACAAAAATATTTCATAATACCTTTTATACAAAGATTTATTAACACCGACCAACAATATGATCGATACTGCAATAAAGAAGGCACTGAGTTAACTAATAAAGATATCTTATATTTATTACAATTGCTTATTAGCCATGCGTAACAGAAAATTAACTCCTATTGTCATTACAAGTTAATGAAATGCACATGTGTAAATAATACGAAAACATTTTATTTGCATATAACAGTTTTATGTTATTGTTTCGAGTAGACAATGTAATTAAATAAAGTTCATTAGGAACTCATGATTTTTAATGAGTTCTCTTTGAATTAATTGCTGAATTGAAGAAAAGACATTACACGCTTTTGCGTTCACCACTTCTACATGAAAAGGTTCTGAGCAGAAGGCTATGCTGCGACGTCTGAAGGAACTGTATCCAATTTTTCCCATCAAAACTCGACATACGTTTTACTATTAACCGCATTAATCAAAAATCAAATCCTAATACAACCAAATCTATAAAAGTGAGAGCATTATAAAACTGTGGTAGCCAGTCATCATTTATAACTCAATCTCTAAAAGACAATTTATCATTACAATCACATAGCAGCAATGTCTTTAATATTGTGGGTATTAATAATCTTCACACTAATAAATCAATTGATACTTGTGTGGTCCAAGTTAATTCCTTAATCGAACCTTTTAAGGTCACACACCCTTTCCTTGTTTTACTGGAACTTACAGGCGATACGCCCAAGTTCACTATAGATATTAAACTATTTAAACGTACCTAATAATGTAAGGCTTGCTGACCCTTCATTTAACCAGCCTGCGCCGGTTGATATTCTTATCGGTGCCGAATTATTCTGGGACATTCTAGGCTGCAAGCAAATCATGCTTGGTCTTAACTATCCTAAACTTAGAAGTTCCAAATTCGGGTGGTTAATTTCTGGTTCTATTTATTCAAACACGTTTAATAAATCTAATAATATTCAATGACATCATTAAACTACAATGCCCAATTCTAATACTGATTACAATGTTATCAACGAACAAATGTCGAAATTCTGGGAACTAGAAGAAGTTCCACAAAACCGTCATTTAAATCCAACGGAGAAGGAATGTGAAAAATGTTTTACCAATCACACCTTCCGCCTTGAATTAGGTAGATTTTCTGATAGTTTACCCTTCATAGATTCTCCTGATTGTTTAGGTGAATCTTACAGTCTCGCCAAAAAACGATTACTTTCTTTAGAGAAACGCTTCAGAACACAATCAGACGTTCAATTACAATATATTAAATTTATACGAGAATATAAACAATTAGGTCATCTAACCGAATCAACAATTGTAAAACCATATCCTTCACATTTTTTTGTCACCATGCTGTATTTAAAAATAGCAGTGAGTCAACAAAAATTAGAGTTGTCTTTGATGGATCAGCCCCTACATCATCTGGGCATGCCATCAACGACATCCTAATGTAGGCCCAAATTTACAAGACAGTCTGTTCTCCATTCTTATTAGAGCTCGTCAGCACAAATATCTTTTAACGGCGACATGGAAAAAATGTATCGTCAGGTTCTAGTACATGAAAAGGATAGAAATATGCAACTTATATTATGGAGAGAAGACGAGTCTCTGCCTATCAAAACTATGATTCTCAATACAGTTACATATGGCATGGCGAGTTCTAGCTACCGGAGCACGCGATGTCTTTGGCAATTAGGCGAAGAATGTGCAGATGAAAGCATAAAAACTATAATACAACATGATTTTCTAGTTGATGATTTAATTACAGGCAGTGACGATGAACAAGGTTTACTTTATATTCAAAAGGCCGTTACGTCTGAACTCAAACGTGGATGCTTCAATTTAAGAAAGTTCAAATCTAACTTACCTTCAATTATTTCATAAATTTCAACTAGCAATGACAATTTAACTATAAGCGAATCGACAAGTACATTAGGGATAGGATGGGAACCAGACACAGATGAATTATTTTTTCTTATTCAAAACTTTCTCTCTTATATTGAAAATTTAACTAAACGAATTATATTATCATCATTATTTAAAATTTTCGATCCTTTGGGATTATTCCTTAAGTCCTTGCATTATACAAAGCCAGATAAAGGCTAGGTTGGGACGATCCAGTTCCAAGTAACATTAAATGTGCTTGGAATAAAGCTTTGCTTGCGCTCTCAACAGTTAAAATTCCAAAACTCACTTTATGTGACAAACCAATCTAAATAGACCTTCATTCATTTAGTGACGCTTCACAAGAAGCATATGGAGCTTGTATTTACCTTCGTTCAGAATAGAATTTCAACACCGAGATTACCGTCAGACTCTTACGTTCAAAGTCTAAGGTAGCTTCAACTAAACAAACTACGATCCCCAGGCTAGAACTCTGCGCTACTTTATTAGCCGCAATCTGTGTAGGCCTATTAAAACATCTTTGCGGTGTCAGATACGACGGAAAACTCACTGGTGCGATTCAAGTGTGGTATTAGGCTGGCTTAATAGTAGCCATCAAAATTTAAAAATTTTCATTGCAAATAGAGTTACCGAAATTAGTGAACATACGGACATAGCATCTTGGCGCTATGGGCCAACTGATTTATATCGAGGGGATCTCATTTCTAGAGGAGTCAGTCCTGATCAAATAGCAAGCAAAGGATTTTGGTGGTCAAGACCTAATTTTCTCTATGAGCCTGAAGATAATTAGCCTATTCTACCACAACAACAATTTGATTCCATGGAGTTGCCAGAGATTAAACGGAGCATAGTTTCGGCTCATGTTACTTATAGTAAAAATTCTGTAATATCATTCGAAAATTATTCAAAATTATTAAAATTGAAACATACAGTTGCATACATGCTACGATTTATTTATAATTTAAAACATCCACATAAACGAATTTCCGGTATTTTAAGCGTTGAAGAACTAAATAACTCATTTAATCATTTGTTTCGCTTATGACGTCACAAGACCTCAGGAATTGAGCGATGGTGGGTAACTCTAAATCGACATGTAGATCAATATTGCGTAAGAATCAGGGTGCTCCCGTAGCTCTGCGCAAGAATCGATTCTGAATGACCTGAAGCCGGTGTATTTGCTTCGGAGCAATGTGCGCAAAAACCGGACTCGCGTACGTCATAATAGGGCGAACTACTGCCTTGTAATAAGGTCACCTTGTTCCGAAGGGAGATGCTGGCTGAATTTAAGTTGGGAGTCGAGGACGACACCTAGATATTTTTTTGTGTGGGAAAAGGACGGCCGCGCCTTTGGCGGGATTGATCTCGATCCTCCACTACCGAAAGCAGTCACCGATGGTGATGATCGCAGCTTGAAGGTGTCGATGGATCAATTCTGGTGTTCTTCCTATGGTATAGAGACGTCGGTGTCGTCAGCAAAAAGGGCAAGTTCTACATCTATGACACGCGCCATGTCATTAGGGTGGAGCGTGAATAAGACTGACCAACACCGACACTCTCTTGGGGCACTCCGGTTCTAACGGGATGCGTTGTCGAACACAACCAATTATTATATGACTCGTTGAATTTAGGGGGCTGTATGGTAGGCAACTTTAGAAGACTATTATTATTATTATTACTTGAAAACTCCTTTTCACTAGCGCACTCAGTATTGGAGTTAATATTTTATCGAATAAGATCTCGAGCTTTCGCGAGAATTTTATAATATATCTTTGCAAAATCATTGCGTTCAATTATTTGAAAATTAATATCGCCTACTAGATATTCTAACTCTAACTGAACCTCATCGTAGTGTTCGTATAATAATTCAATTTTCCTTATGCGCAATTGCAATTCTCTTGCCTGAGATGTGCTTAATAAACCCTTTAATTCATTGAGATAATTATTGAAATCTGTTAACCGTCCTTTGAAACTTTCCCCGTTTTTTAATTAATTCTCTCTCTTCGGTCATTTTGGAATACTGGGTAAAATTAAAGAATAATATCTGAAAGTTAAA